TGATTTAAAAAAAGTGTTCTTGGAGATCTCCTCTACTGTACAAATTCACTTTTCTGGTAAACTCTCCTCCCAAATTTGAGATAATGGAAAAAAAGGTTGAAACAGTGGTCAGTATATATTGCAAGATAAAAGCACAAGCAAAGTATCAAGGATCAATTCCATCTCACAAGAAATCTTGTCCATGAATATTCTCGTAAAGATGTTCATCAGCTTCCTAAGGAGATAGAAGGAACTGGAGTAGAGAAGTTAGAGTAAAGAACGTTGGGATCCTCACGCTATTACCTTGCAAATAAAGTAACTTGAAAATGAACAGTTTTTAACTGTGAGCCACTGAACAATATAAATTTTAAAAATTGCTAATGTTAGAAATTGAGGCATCCAACTAAGTGCAGTGCACCTTATATTTTCTGGGACAGCTGTTTGCTGGAATCATATAGAATCTTAGGGCTTATAAGGGCTTTAGAAACAGTTTGGTCTCACCCTCTAATTTTGGAGAGAAGAAAAATGGCCCTAGAGATATTCAGAATTACCCAAAAATATCAGCTGAGTAGATCAGAAAGTAGTCTCTGAAATCCCATCTTCAGATGGCCTATCTAGTCATTTTTCTACTGTACTATCTCTCTAAAATAAGTGATAATTATATGTAGTCTTAAAACAAAAAAAAATTAGTGGGAATTTTAATAACGTAAATTTTGTTCTAGTTATCCAGTGGATCTCATAAGGATAGGCCTATAAACTCAACTGTTCCAGATTTTAATGTGAATTATTCATTCTGTAGGTAGACTGAAAAGAGCATTTAATGTGAATGCTAGACTTTGTACTCACATAGGACATCTCTAAGTATCACTAACTGTTGCCAACAATTTGTCTTAAAAGAGGGAGAAAAACATTTTAAAATTGTAGGATGAAGCCAATATTTTTGCTTAGAGAAAGTTCTAACGGAATGAGTGAAGGAGATAGCCAAAAACAGATGGAGATGTGTGGGATTTAAGGAAGTATTCGTTTGTAATTCTGGTGTCCAGAACTGCTTAATATTAACAGCTAATTTTCAAGTGTTGTAAGAAATTCCCATGAGGGTAACATTTAGACTATGTTAGGTGTGCAACAAAAAGGAACAAGTTAGGGAAAGCTTTCTAACTGCTATTAGTATGCAAATTCATAAAATATAAGGTAGTGGTAAAGGAACAAAGGGGTTCAAAATTAGAGGTAACCTGGAGTAAGACATCAGACATTAGAATTATGAGGTATGGTCAAAAAATACAGTAAAGGTTTAAAGTTTTATTACAGTAAGACACATTGCCGTTAATCCCCCTCAAAATACTCCTCACTTCAAACACACTTATTCTATGACTCTTGCTACTTTCTGAAGCAGCTCTGAAAGTCTTTCATGAGTGTCTTTTGTTGTACTGTCATAGCTGCTCTGATTTTCTGAACTGATTCAAAACTTTATCTTTTTCAGTCATTTTGACTTAGAGGAAGAACCAAAAGTTGGGTCCTGCCACTTGTGATGAACAAAATGGGTGAGGACGCATCATAGTGGCCTTATGAGCCTGCCGTTGGGTGCCACTTAGCAGCGGTATTCACTGTGTTTTAGATCACATTGTGTAAAGACATGAAAGAGGACTTCTAGAACTGCTTCAGAAAGTGGCAAGAGTGATGGGATAAGTGTGCTTGAAGTGAAAAGAACTATTTTGAGGGAGATGAATGTCTGTGTGACCTTTGCTGCAATAAATTTTTAAAAATTTAAATCATCACCATATATTTTGATCATACCCTGTATATTCAGAAATGTTGAATGTAACAAAAATAGAGATTTAGGGAAAGGTGGACTCATTTCTGGCCACTAGCCATGTTTGCATTCTCCTCTCATGAAGTGGTTAAGATTGAAAACCAGCTTCGCATTTAATGTATATTGCCTGTGATTCATCTGAGCGCTGATCTTAGGAGAGAGGTTGCCCTGAGTCTTTGCCACTGTCTCTGAATTTCCAACAGTGTTACCTTCAGTGGTGACCTATCCTTCCTTGTCTCTTGCTTCCTCTTCAGTAAAACTGGCATAAAGACAATACCTCCCTCATATGATAGACTCAAGGAAGAATAGGTTGCCTACATAGTGTCTGACACATAGTAAGCTATGTAAGTGCTGGGTATTCATTTGACTTCTGTTATAATTAATACATTTATATAATTTTATATATTTTCCAACTTGTTTTTCTAGAAAAATAGAGTTGACACAGAGTTGACACAAAGAATAATCCATGTTAGAGGCTCATACGGGATCTGAGTATCCTCTGGAAGATTGTATGTCTTAGGACAGTGTCCACTAGGTGGCATCTCATTGTAGGGGGGGATACCGCCTCCCCCTCGCACCGTTAAGAGCATCTCATTCATCTCTTTCTGGTCTGTGCCTTTGCAAAATTACAGACTCTTCAACAACCACACAAAATAGAAGAGTTGTTCACATACATGAGTGTCACACAAGGCCTAGGACTGTACAAGGGGAGCTGTACCCCCATAGCGTGGTAACACTTAGTGCACGTACAAGACACTCTCACGTACTTTAGCCTGTTTGACTTCCTCAGTACTGCAGCATGTGATATAAAGAAGCTTTCACCCCTTTGTTTTTTTTTTTTTTTATTTTAAAAATAAAAGGAAGAAAACATTAACAGACAGACAACCTTTATTTTGACTACAGTATCTGGATCTACTGTTAATCTGTTTGCATTATTAAAACATTTCCAAAGTGTAAAGTTTATTCTCTGTGCACTAGTCTTCATTTTCTAAAATGGTCTCTATTTTGTAACCAGTGTTAAGCTTACAACAGACAGGCTCTTGTGGGACCTTGGACGAGGGGCTTGATTCTGCTTGTTTTGGAAATTTGCCCTAGTTCGGGGAGAATAGAATGATCTGGCACCTTCTATTTCATTTTATAGGTTCAAATACCACTGAATATCACTGTGGGTTTTGGCTTGTTAAATACGTTGGTAACAGTAGGATTTTGCTAATTTTAATGCTCCTTTTTAAGAGGAAAGCAGGGTTCAGCATTTATACTACCACTATAGCTGTTTTATTAACATGTTAAATTATAACCAAGGGCTGTTCTAAAAGCTGATCAGATTTCCTAACCCTTTTTAAATGGTGGAAGTGTAATCTAGTCCAACTTCAAAGCCGCTGCCGCAGCCCGTGTCCCATCCTCCGGCAGTCCCCTCTCCCCTGACATTTTCACAATGATCTGAGCTGAGCCCTCAGCCACTCAGCCTTTGAGGTGCTCTGAAGGCAGCAGTTGCTTTGCCCTTGTTGTGACTTCTTGAGAAAAAGACTTGAAATTACTTTTGTTCTATCACATCCAAATAGACCAGCCTAGAAAGATTTGCTTAAAGACAGTGTTGGCTTTTTGTTTTGCTTTTTTCTAGGTAAAGTGTAGTGCTAAAATTTATTTGGTCTTCATGAGACAGGGTCTCGCTATGCAGTTCAGGCTGACCTTGAGCTCACTTTGTAGCCCAGGCTGGTAGTGCTAAAATTTAAAAATCTTGCCTTGAAGCCACTCTCCGAAGGACTGGGGTTCTATTTTTTTTTTCTTTTTTTGCGGTACCAGGGATCGAACTCACAACCTTGCGCTTGCCAGGCAGGCACTTATGCCACTGAGCTGTATCCCCAGCCCATAGGACTAGCGTTCTAATACCAGTCTACTGAGCTGTATGAAATGAGATGCTAGAACAGGTAGGAACTGTCATCGGGAGCAGCTGTGAGCAGGTGGTACTTCTTCCATCAGGGAACAGGGGGGATACACATTGGTCTAAGGTATCCCTGGAGTGGGAAGCTTGAGAATAACTGCACTTTTCCTTTTCAGGCCCGTATGATCACACAGGAGTGCAGAAATCTTAGCCACAGTGCCGTTTTTGGTGGTCTCTGCTCAGTGCCTCAGAGCCCACAGCAGAGTGATGGGTTTTGGAGGCTCGTGTTCAGGCTGGCCCAGATCTCTATCTGCAGAACCCTGGGTGGGGGTGTGGCCCCTAACCATCCTTGTTTATAGATGCAAGACTAGCTAGGGTGATTTAGGAATGGGTGTCTGAATTTCTTAGGTTTCAGTTCCTTTTTTTTTTCTTGTAAAAATAAAAGGTGGAAAACATTAACAGACAGACAACATTTTACAAAATAGCAAAAGAACAGTACAGACAATACAGAGTTACAAACAAAGTGGTAGGAAATTAACAATGCTTGTTGTATTACATACTGAAATCTTCAAAGTGGTTTCTCATGAATACAGATAGAGACATGCAATACTGATCAATCAAAGACTCATTGACAGTTTCTTTCATCTTAGGCACGCTGCATTTTCTACCCAAACTCCTGAGCTGTTAACAGCATGAGGGCTGGGGCTGGGACTCGTGTGTGTTCATTTTATTACCTTCCATGCCATGCCGGGCATTATTTTGCCTCCTTCTCGGAAGTAGTAACCTGGTTTTGACCACATCAAATGAAACCCTACTTCAGAGTTTTTACTGAGTGCCAGAGCCTGAATGAGCTAACTGAAAAAGTCTGTTTAACCGTTGGCTGTGTCCTGTGGTCAGTTTTGGAGCCAGTTTCCTTCTTTTGTGAATTCCATCTAGAGGGAGCCCAGCAATGCTGTCCTCCGTATGGTGTAGGTAGGACCTGGTCATTGTTCTTGCCCTACTCAATATTACTGTATCCCTAAAAGGAGGCAAATTTATACTGTAGTGTGGCTAAGTTCCCACTTAAATTCCCCTTTCTTCACAGTTCAGAAAATATCCCCTTGTTCTACCTAGTGGAGAGTTTAGAACTCTGGAAATTGGATTGCAAAAACCATCCTAGTAACCATCCAAGTAAAAGGACCAGTGATTTAAAACTAATGTTTAAAAATAAACACATCCTACTTAGTGTCTTTCATGGTTTGCGCGGCTGTCACCTAGATGCTCTGAAGGTCGGACGTGCTACCCTGTGTGGGCCTCTAGCAGTGATCACTTTTTCTTTTTCATTTTTAGGACCAGGAAGAAAACAAGGGAGCTACAAGTTGGCCTGAATTCTACATCGATCAGCTCAATTCCATGGCTGCTGTAGGTATACTTTATGTGCTATGACACACAGTTAAAAATCTAGCACAAAGTACACAGTTGCACAATAAATTCAGTTGAGTAAGACCTAGCAAATACCTTTCCAGATTCCATTCCACACCCTCAGTGTTGGAGGGAAGTAAGGGGACAGAAGTGTTATTTGGCAAAGTGATCTTTCTAATATATTTTAAAATAAAATCTGTACACACTAAAATATAATGACTTTAATGTTATAGGAGGAAACATAATCTGAAATCTGGCCTGCATTCAACCTGCAAATGCTCTAAGTTACCACATGGAGCTTTGCAATACTATTCTAAAAGTTGATATTTAAAAATAGTGTGGTTATTATTCCTTCATTATACTCCTCTTGTTCTCTTTCTTACTAAGAACTGGTTCCTTCTATCTTGATTTTGCAGGGACCGGGGTACCCTTTTCTTATCAGATAAGTAAGGAGTCCGTGGAGTAAGTGGTTTAATGAAAAAGCATAATAATAATAGTGCTGAGATGTCCTCAGAGAGCCTTGGTACATAGATTTTTGGTCTTGTTTTTACTTAAAATGCATTCTCAGTATTTACAGTATGAAGTCTGATCACATTGTGTCTCTGCTGTGATATCAGCATTCCAGGATGTGTGAGGGATGTCTACTAACCATAGCCGAAATTCACAGCAGAAGATGAGTTGTTAACCTTTAGTCCTTGGTAACTTAAATGCTGTTACTGTTGATCAAAGCTGAAGGCTGTCCAGGGTTTGCCGCTGTGGGCACACTTATGATTATGATTCTAAGAGTTAATCTGTTGTATTCAACTTTGTGTTTATAATGTCCAAGTAGATATCTTCTGTGATATTATCTTCACGATTTTTTTGGTGTTTATTTTCCCGGAGTCCTTGTGGAGAATGAATTTCTTATCACTTAAAACTTTTTAAATTATCTAATATTTGCTGCTACTACAAAAGTCAAAAAGGTTTTAGAATATATGGATCAGTCACACTTTTGCTAAATTTTGAGAGGCCTTGATTTTTAGTAACTTCTTTAATAGCATCTTTTCTAAACATGCTTCTGTTATACAGTGATAGTCCAGTAAATGTGGATAGGACTGTATAAAATTATAGGACAAGTAACATAAACTTTGCTTTAAGAGTTTCTAGTCTTGCTGGGAGTGGTGGCGCATGCCTGTAATCCCAGCACTCGGGAGGTTTAGGCAGGAGGATCACTGCAAGTTCAAAGGCAGCCTGGGCTACAAAGTAAGTTCGAGCCCAGCCTGAACTGTATAGTGAGACCCTGTCTCAAAAGGACAAAAAGAGTTTCTAGTCTTACACATAGATGAAAGAACAGAAAATGACCATCAAATCCTTCTTACTCAATGCATTGTGTAAAATGCCAAAGATGAGAAAATGGTAAACTCAGCATTTGCATGAATATATTAACAGAATATGAGACTTGTGGTGACTACAAGGGATTTTTTGTGCATCCACTCAAGCAATAATGACTTGGAGCTATTTAACATTTCTTGCATGGTAAGGCTATTTTGTGAATTCTTGTTCCCATTAGGAAAAAAGAACTGTCAAGCAGGCTGTCTCTCTCTGTAATTAAGTCAGCATTATTTGATGTCTAACAAGAGAAATTCCTTTTTTGTTAATGAATTCTTTGCTATAAATGGAGTACTGCATATTATAGACTTTTCTGTCTTCCAATATTGGGGCAGCTCTGTTTATTTGACCCATAGTGTCCTGATACCTGCCTGGTGTGGAGTAGCCCTGGCTCACCCTGAGGCCCATAATCGTTGATGTGCCAGGCCCTTCTTCTGAGCCTTCCTTCTCCTTCTTACACATCCTTGGGCAACTGTTTGCTATATTCTTAAGTGGTCTGCATTTTAATTATCTTTGGGTCCTAATCTGACGTCCTTTCCCAGGACAGCAGAGGCTATTAAATTAAATGTGTGACTTTGCTATCCCTTATGTGTCAAGCACTTAAGAGAACTTCCAGGTGTTCCTTTTAGGGCTGAGCCAGCATTTTTCCTAGGTCAAAAATAAAGGGCATAAACTGGCTGTAAGCTAATGAGGCCTAAAAACTTTTGCTATCTAAAAGAACAAGTAGACCTCAGAAGACCAGAAACCCTATGCCATATTTTCTCTTTTTCTTGCAATATCGGCTGCCACAACTGTCTTCCTTAGTTCTGGCTAATCTCTCTCACGTCTGTGCTTGAGCATAGTGTGCACACGCATGCGTTATCCCGGGGGCTTGGCAAGGCACATAATTCCTCCAAATGTCTTTGGGTCCCAGCCTCTAGAGTCCTTGGCTTTCTGCATGGGGACCTGTTGAAGAGGCAGTTGTCACATTGTCATCATGTATCCTCTGTAGCATCACTGGCAACTACTATGACTGAGTGTGCCTCATGTGACTGGCAGTGTGCCAGACATTGTACATGTTGTTTTAAGTCCTTGACAGCACCCTGTGCTGCCAGTGCTATTTACAGTTTGAAAATCATAGACTCAGATGACGGTTACCTTGTCTAAAGCCACCTAATTAAGAAGCAACCACCAGTATGAGCCCAAAGGCCCTTTCCCTCCTGCCTCTCACTAACTGGATCCTTAAAGCCCTTTGCCACATGAAAGAGGCCTGGAGAGCTTACTTATGCCCTCCATCCCCACCCCCACACTGTCAGGCTCCCACACTCTTTCTAGGGATGGGGTCAGGTGTCTGGTTTTTGAAACCAGACTTTTGAAAGCCTCAAGACTTTGATAAACTATCCAGGCTGAGAACTGCCATACTTACTGCTCTGTGAAACCAGCTGTTTGTGAAACAAGTTCAGTTACTGAAGCCTTACAACAAAAGTGCTTTGTTCTTTAAGGACCCCTGAGTGATCTGTTGGCTTTTAAAGCGTGAAAAGTGGTACAGTAAAGGCGTGCGGATAAACAGGTTCTGAAGGGCTTGAATTTTGCTTGTCTTCAGGTTTCAGGCTTCCTCAAGGTGGAGGATAGAGAAGTTGACTGTTTGGTGAGCTGGCTCATCACATCCGCACCAAGGAAGTGTTGAAACTGGAGCTCAGTTTCAGACTGAGGTGCCACCTTCACACATTTCTCAGCCCATTCGGCATATGCCTTTGTGGCTTTGCCTAGGAGGTCCTCTACTGGTGCACGCTTTGTCCTTGCCCAGTTCTCCTGTGAGTAGGTGTTGAGGGAGTGTCCGAGCTGCCCTCACAAGGCCAGTGCTGCCTATCAGAGGGGCACACTGTTTGGTATGGAGCTTGTCTTAGAAATGTAGGCATGTTGCCTTTGTGAAGTTTCAAATTAAACCTTTCTAAATGTGAAACATAAAAACCTGAGACTTCATAAAAAATATTTTATTTTGAGAAGTTGCATTACAATGTCATGTTCATCTATATACCTATACTTTTCTTAACCAAATAAATACAGTCTTAGATCTAAATATAATTGTATCATATTCACAAGAGGTCTGGTCTACGTTTTGAGAGAAAGATAATCTTCCTTATTTAGGGAAGGAAAGTTCTAATTTAATTTTATGTGATGTTTTACAACTCTCCCCAAGTCTACAACGCAAAGACTTAATGTAGTCTATCTTTACTCAACTGTCCTATCCTTTCCAGAATTGCTAAAAAGATACCCCATACATTTTAATTTTGTATTAGTGACCCACAATAAAATGGGTACTCTTTAATTTGGGGATACTTTTGTGAGATAAAGTTTAGGAGCAAGGAGTAATATTCATGAAAGATTTGATTCTGAGCAGCAGATTCAAAGTGATTGCTTATGAGTCCAAATGAGTTCAGCTGTGCCACTGAAGATTAAACGTCCTTGGCTGGATTTGTGCTGAATTTCCCAGGGCATGGGTGTCACAGGGCGCTGAGGTCTTCATTGGCTATTTCTGCTCACAGCTTCTTCCCCCACTGTCCTCTGGTGACAGCTGTCCAGCTGCATCACCAGCAAAAGGACAGGTTTAGCAGAAATAGTAACAAGTTAAACAAAACAAAACCTCTCCTGGCTTTAATTTCATTTACCAAAAGTGACACTGATGTATTCATATGCCTGAGGCTTTGCCCCTCTCAAATTTAGGCTTTAACATTTAGTTACTTAATGTTGATGCTATTGATTTAAAAACTAAAGTCACCCTTGATGGTGACAGAAAGAGAGAGACTGGATCATTGAGACCCATGCATCAGTTCAGCTTTTCCTTTTTAATGCTGTCACCTCAGTGTCAAGCATTTTATCAGAAATTGTTAACAGGTGGGTTAGGAATGTGGCTCTGTGGTAGAGTTTATGCCTTGCATGCACAAGGCCTTGGGTTCTATCCCCAGCACCACAAAAAAGAAAAAAAAAAATGGTAATAGGTTAAAGAATTGAGACTGGACAAGCGTGCATTCAGAGTAGAATGAAGGAAAGAGACTGGTAACTCCAAAGTTGGAGACTCGTGGGACCTAAGCCTGGGGATGCTTTAGTACAGTGAGGTAGTCACCAAGAGACATGAAGTGGAAAAGACTGTAACCCTTACTAGCATTAGCGTTCATGACTTCATCATGAATATCAACTGAGTCTTGCTTCTACAGAGTTAGCATTGCCTGCAAACTTTTTAGACATGCAGCATCTCAGGCCTCACCCTGACCTGCCAAATTAGGGCCCACATCTTAACAAGAACCCGGGTGATTTCCATCTCCACATTACATTCTGGGAAGCATTGCTGTAACAGATCCCTGGGCAGTTTTAAAAACACATTCTCACAAATGCTCTATGTCCTGGTTTCTAAATGATGTTGAATCATTTGAAAAAGGTAAAACACTGACTCTGGAAGAAGTGTCCATCTTAATAACAGGTCCAGTTTAATTATTCCTTTAAAAAATTAATTTGATATAATGAGATCCCTTAGATCTCAGTAACACTTTTCAGCTGATAAATGGGAAAACTGCTGTCCACTTCCTCTATTTGATAGTGTAATAGCTTTAACTTTAACTGATAAAATATTGCACTCAACTACAGGCCCTATCTTCTGTCAAATATAAGTAGTAATATCCACATCAGCATGTAGTTATAGAACAGTTATAGATAAAAAAAGGAATAATTATAGAGAGACTCAGTTAATCTTTGCTAAGATTTGTAGACATTCTAACTTACAATAGAGTCTAAATAAATTATGGAATTGGTGGTCATATTGCTCGACATTTTGATTAGTAGTATCTTTGCTAAGATTTGTAGACATTCTAACTTACAGTAGAGACTAAATAAATTATGGAATTGGTGGTCATGTTGCTCCACATTTTGATTAGTAGTTAATTTTAATCATAGCTTTATTGGTTATTTCTATTAAAATGATAATAGCATGTAATCTGTGGGTTTGCTTCACTTGGACAATGATTAAAGGGTAGAATGTGAAGAAATAATTTCTTTTTTTTTTTTTTTTTGGTACCGAGGATTGAACTCAGGACCTTGCACTTGCCAGGCAGGTGCTTGCGCCGCTGAGCTATATCCCCAGCCGAAATAATTTCTGTTTTCTTTGTATAGAGAAAATCTCTGCTGGCTTTAGAAAAAGAAGAAGAAGAAGAGAGAAGTAAAACTATAGAGAGTTTAAAGACAGCACTGAGGACAAAACCAATGAGGTACTCTTTCCCTGGGGTACCCATTCCTCTCTCCTCTCTCCTCTCTCCTTTTACACTCCCTCCTGCTTTTCTGCAGTGGTTGAACCTTCCAGAAAGCATAAAATGTAAAGCATGCAACTGAACCATGGTTGAAATACTTTAATCATTGAGCATTTAAAAAGTTGATTTTCTTCAAGTAACAGCAGGCAGTAACCAAGATAGTCAGATAGAAAGGGCAGAGAGTAACAATAGTGGCAGGAATGTGGGAAGATTTAGAACCTCATTCATTGCTCTTGGGAAAGTAAAATGTTGCAGCCACTTTGGAAAAGTTAGGCAATTCCTTGGAGTATTAAGCATAGCATTACCATAGAAATGAACAGTTCTGCTGCTAGATGTTTACCAAAGGAAGTGAAGACATGTTCCCCAAAAACATGCACCAGTGTTCATAGTAGCATTGTTCAAAATAGCCCCAAAGTAGAAACAAACCAATCATATGTTCATCAGTTGATAAATGGATAAATGAAATGTCATATACCACACAATGGAATATTTTTGGCCATAATAAAAGAATGTACTGATACATATCACAACATGGAATAACCTTGAAAATGTCCTGCAAAGTAAAACCAGTCACAGATGACCAAATATTATATGATTATATGAAATGTGTGTAGGAGCCCAGTTCATGGAGACAGAAAGTAGATGAGTGGCTGCCAGAGGTGAGGAAAAGGGAATAGGAAAGTGGTCTTTAGGGATGATGAAAATGTTCTAAAATTAGATAATATTGATGGTTGCACAACTTTGTATTTTAAAAACACTGAATTGTATACTTTAAAAGGGAATGATATAGGAATTTGATGACAATAAAACCATTATTAAGAGTAAAAGATGGGCAGTCCTTATGGCAATAGTGATTCGTGCCTGTCTGGTAATCACCTTGCAGCAGGTGCTTCCCCCATCTTCAGTTTTCCTTAAGCCTTTAGGGTTTGGTGAGATGTTAGGAATCTACCAATACATTTCATCAGCACAGGCACTGTGAATGAAGCCGACTGGTTTAACCAGCTTGGCAGTGTCTGGATCACGTGGGTGAATGGATGCCTCAGAAATAACAATTGCCTTTCTTCATTTGATAATAAAATGTAAACTAAGAAGATTCATCACTGTACAGTTTTATGATAGACTGCCGTAACTATATCAGTGTTTTTTTCATTGTGTTCAGCATTCTCATGTTAATGAGTATAAAAGGCTAATTTGGAAGCTCCTCAAGGAGTCAGATGAACAGGTTATGTGGTCTCTAGACTTCAGAGGCTTTGACATGCATATGAACTACTCATTGTTAGACTTTATAGTAAATGTTATAAATACTGACAAAATTAACTTGCAGTAATAAAATACTATTTTATTTTTTGTGTTGGGCTTCTTTGTAGTGTACCATATGATGGAAGAGCTTTGCTACCAAACCTTAGGGAATATAGATAATCATTTGTCTGACAAATTATCCTGGAGTTGAAGGATGCTCTTTGATTGATAAGGTGCTGGGGTCAGTGGTTGGCACACGAAGTGCCTGGGAACTGGATGCTGTAATAACTGATCAGCAGATAGTTTTAACTCTTTGGGAACTAAGTTTTCATCTACCTGCCTCCACCTCCACCTCCACCTCTCACCCCCAACAAAGCTTTCCTACTAAGGACTGTTGCAAACCCCGGAGGGACTTAAGTCTGACGCACTTCTCTTCACACCAGGTTTGTCACCAGGTTTATTGACTTGGACGGCCTGTCATGCATTCTCAATTTTCTGAAGACCATGGACTATGAGACCTCGGAGTCTCGAATACATACCTCTCTCATTGGATGTATAAAGGCGCTAATGAATAACTCTCAGGGCCGGGCTCATGTCCTGGCTCATTCTGAGAGTATTAATGTAATTGCTCAGAGTCTGAGCACTGAGAACATTAAAACAAAAGTGGCCGTGCTGGAAATCTTGGGCGCCGTGTGCCTGGTTCCCGGGGGCCACAAGAAGGTTCTACAGGCCATGCTGCACTATCAGAAGTATGCCAGCGAAAGGACGCGCTTCCAGGTGGGTGTACCCTGGCTTCGTCCACACCCATGTGTAACTCTTCAAAAGTCTTCACGAACAGGTGCCCTCTCTGCCCACTAATGGAGACATTACTTGAGATTTCTCTCAGCAGTGATTACTTACAATGTGACTTCAAACCTTCCCTTCTTTTAGGTTTAAGAACCAGAAAATAGAATACATTTTTGTAGTTGCACAGACTGGGGCCTTAGACTTACTGAACTTGAAAATGTAGCCATGCATCCTACATATTATATAGCATACATCTTTTGAATCCACTAAGTAGAGGGTTCCCTGAAAATTTTAGAGGATGCCATGCTGGACTTCAGATCAATTTGAATAGTGAGATTATGTCACATATTTTCACTCAGAGGTAAAAAGCAAGCAGAGGTAATAGAGCAAAGTCTTTTGTATATGTGTATAAATGCACATGTATGATATCAGAATTTTAAAGGGACTTTCAATATTAGTTCATTGAAAGGAACAGTTAGTGCTTATATTGCTTGAACAATTTTGCATTCCTGTATCTGGTAATCTGAGCAACTACTTTGAAGATAACAACATGCAACATAGTAACTATTGTTAATTTCCTATCTTGTTTTGAAACTCTATATCGTTTTTATAGGGCTTTTTCTCTTTAAAGTGAAAAAGTGGCTTTGTATGGAGCAATATAATAAAGGTTGCTTTGTATGGCTCAGCATAATTTTGACTAAATAGATGTTAAAAGTTAACCTATAAGCATAAAAATTTGTAAAATGAGTATAAAGCTAATAACCATCTCATCTTTTGCTTTTGTATTTGTGTCCTGGATAGACGTTAATTAATGACTTAGACAAAAGCACCGGGCGGTATCGAGATGAAGTGAATCTCAAGACTGCCATCATGTCCTTCATTAACGCAGTACTAAGCCAAGGCGCAGGAGTGGTAAGAACCCTGTGTATAATGTATGTTTATATACTATTAAAAACAATTTTAAGCCGGGCGTGGTGGCGCATGCCTGTAATCCCAGCACTCGGGAGGCTGAGGCAGGAAGATCATTGCGAGTTCGAGACCAGCCTGGGCTACAAAGTGAGTTCAAGGCCAGCTTGAACTGCATAGCGAGACCCTGTCTCAAAAAAAAAAAAAAAAAAAAAAAAAAAGCACAATTTAAAAACATTATTATGATATAGTCTTAAAATCATGAATATGTATTTTATCACCCTTGTACTTTAGGAGAGTTTGGACTTCAGACTTCATCTTCGCTATGAATTTCTAATGTTAGGAATTCAGCCCGTAATAGATAAATTAAGGGAACATGAGAATTCAACATTAGATAGGTAAGTCAGACTGTTATGATCTGAGATAGTTCATACTTATTCCATATGTATGGTGCACTGCCAACCCATGAACTACTTATGATCTGTTTGTAACCCAAGTAACTTGCACCAAAATGTTGGCTCACCTAATTATGTTTTTATCCTAAGACTTTATCAATGAAGGCAGCAGTATATTGTGTAGAGAACTTAATGTAGGTTTTCACACTAGTCCTGAATCCATCTCCTATCCTAGTCTTGCCTGTTACTGTATATCCTGGTCAAGTTACTCCTTCCTTCTGAACTTGAGTGTTTTTATGCTTTTGAGAGACGGTGCAGATGATGATGATCAAAATGACAGTTCTCTTCTTTCTATGTCGAGAAAATTGTCTATAAAACCCATGGAATCACTTAGTGTCTTTGGTAGGCATTTTGCAGATGTTAATTTCAATTTCTTATTCACATTTTCTCATTTGCAGTCATTTTGCCATTCCTAGGTGAGGTGTATTAGCTCTCAAACCTTTCCTTCCATCACTCTTCTGCATTCATTCACTCCACTGTGCTCTTCTTCTAGATATTCTATCCAAAATAGTCTTGTACCTACTATTTCTTCAGCTTCTAAAGATATTTCACAGATGTCCAGATTACCTGTTACTTGTTCCCTGCAAAGAGACCTTCCCAACTATTTCCAATTATTTTCTATTCCCTTTACCCTTTGCCTTCATATTTGTCTTCATAGACTGTTTCACTACCAGTGTGTATAATAATTAATAGGGGCTTAGTAAATATTTGAATGAATAATGAAAGATGTGAACATTTCTTTGGCAATATGTAACAAATCAAGTGTAGGCATATGGGTTTTTCTGTAAAGGGAGTCCATGAGAGGAATCTGGATTTGGTTAGATTTGATTAACAGTTACTAATTTAATACTGTCTACTAGGTGCTATGCACACTGGGTTTCTAAATTTTTCTCTTACTATGATCTTATTTAACTCAGTTAATATATTTTTCCTTAAAAAGAGCATTGTTAAACAAGACTTTCAGATTCTTTTACCTTGTTTCTTTTAGAGCAGTCTCTGAAAATTAAGGAAAAGTTTTAGTGTTAATGTCCTGAATTCTATGTGCTTGTGTTTATAGAATATCACACTCTTAGTTTTTTTAAATTATTTTTCAGGCATTTAGATTTTTTTGAAATGCTCCGAAATGAAGATGAACTAGAATTTGCCAAAAGATTTGAACTGGTATGTATGCTTAGAATTATTCCAGTTTGACTTATTGGCTCACAGAACTTGCCTCTTGAAGTGATGCTGCAAAGTCGGCATGGGTCAGGGATCAGTGTGCCTATGAGCAAAGTCAGAGCTCTGTTTGTCACACAAGTGGCAAGATTAGTGTCTACCTTGGATTTACTTTCCTTACACTGAGGAGCATGAGTGTTTATCTTAGATTTGTTCTCCTATCAAACAGGTTCATATAGATACAAAAAGTGCAACGCAGATGTTCGAGCTAACCAGGAAGAGGCTGACGCACAGTGAAGCCTACCCTCACTTCATGTCCATCCTGCACCACTGCCTCCAAATGCCTTGTGAGTGCTCGCGACTTACCTGGGTGTGGCAGAGGGCTTGGATGTCACCCACAGGGCTCTGTCTCCTGAGCAGTTCTGACTAGAGCAAGTGACATGAGGGGCTCCAAGCCTCAGCTTCGTAACAATCCATGTCTCTACATGTCTTACGGGGTGTTAAATTCTCAAAGTGAAATAAATTATAATTTACTTTTATTTCAAAATAAATATGTGCTTTACAACACATTTATAAAGAGGTAAAGAGTCTCTCAAATAAGTGATTATTGCATATCAGGATTCCCTAAACTTTGGGAGGCACTGATGCAGCTGATGTAAGCATCACTCCATTCTGTGGCTCCAAAGGATGACCACTGTTGGAAACTACTCATCCTGGTTTGCAAGCAGCTTGAAGATCTTTTTCCATCATTCTTTCCCTTTTCAGACAAGAGGAGTGGCAACACTGTCCAGTACTGGCTACTACTAGATAGAATTATACAGCAAATAGTCATCCAGAATGACAAAGGACAGGACCCTGACTCCACACCTTTGGAAAACTTTAATATTAAAAATGTTGTACGAATGTAAGTCTCTTCCTTTTCTACTGCCTGGGAGATAATGATGACAATGTAGTAGACTTATTTTACCCTGCTTCAGAATAAAGCTGAGAGGGCTGCAATAGTCTAGGGGTCAAATAGGAGGTGCTTTACAAATGCATGCAGTATATCTTGGTAACGTCTGGGTTTAAATGGGTTTCAAGCCGGCGCTGAGGATTTTCTATACAGTGGACTTTTTGTAATGAGTACTCTTTTAACTTTTATACAGGTTGGTTAATGAAAATGAAGTTAAGCAGTGGAAGGAACAAGCAGAAAAGATGAGAAAAGGTAAATGATGAGGACTTTTCTTCACGACCTTAACTTGGCACCAGAGAAGACACTGTGTCATTGGTTCTGGGTGACCCTTCCAAGAGAAGAGGACATATGATCAGTTACTGGATGGCCCCGCGATCTGCGTCACTGGGAAACTTGCATTGATGTTTTTCATTGCATCAGATAGCCTTTCTTTTTCCAGGTCTTCATGATACTTTGTACTGGCTTTTTCTCATTCAAGCTATTTTAGTTGGCATGCAGGTTTCCAAAGATTTTATCCTTTTATTATGGTCATGTAAATGTTTTGGGGGAGCTTATAATGCTTACTGTTCAGTTTTTTACTGATTTAAATTTTCTTAACTACAGATCATCCAAACCCTTCCTTTGCCTCATAACTACTTTTTAAAACAGAATGGGGTTTAAGAAATGTAGTAAGGCATTCTAGGGTCAGCCAAAATTTTAAGAGAGAAGCCCTGGCCACCTGGTTTCAGCAGCCCAATTTTCTTCACGACCTTAGTTTGGCACCAGTGGTAAAAGAGGAACCATGTAGAAAATCAGGGCCATTGCAGAGATATGTGTTGTGAAACAGTGACAGGCCAGCTGTTAGTGTTTGTTTTGGTTTTTTTTTTTTTTTTTTCCGGTACCGGGAACAGAACTCACGACCTTGCGCTTGCCAGGCAGGCGCTTTGCCGCTGAGCTAAACTCCCAGCCCCTAGTGTTTGAATATATCTTTGATATTGTCAGTCAGTATCGGTGACAGGACAGATATCCATGTTCTCACGGTATCAGCCACTCAAAGGTATATATAGCTTTGTTCTTCCTTCAGCATAGTAGCAAATTAAAGGCCCCTTTGTAAGGACAACCATATGCCTAGCCACTGGTCTCTCACCATACTGGTTAGTGACTTCCTTTTCCTTGTCCAAGTTATTCAGTCACAGCCAGTGAAGTACAATAGCACTCATCCCTGATATTTAATGTGCTGAAAAGAATGTCTGAGAGGTGTCGTAGCATTTCCTTTCCTGTCATCACATGTGTCCTTTGCCATTGAGCAGAAAAGCAGGACCACCACTGATGGCAGATAATACCAGGTGTGAAATACTGCGGGGCTAGCGCTCCTCACGCACATTCACATTGCTCTCAGTAAGTGGGCTGCACAGGCATCTTGTGTAGATGCATTGTGGGAAGGATAGAGACAGCCGCTAAAAGGGTAAAGGAGTAAACCAAAGGGGAAATTGGCCCACGAGTGGATGTTTTAAGGATGTACCGTGCTCTAGAGCATGGAGATGTGAGGCTACAAGTTGAAAAGAGCACCTGGGACATCAGATGTGGAGTTATTCCATCATTTATTTGGCACATACTTCAATGTGAGACACCATGCTGGGCTCTGGGTGTGAGTCTCGGCTCTCCCCTCACTGATCCCCTGGGAAGGCTGAGTTATGTCCTCTCACCCCTCCACTATGCCCCGCAACAGTGAGGAGTTCACCTACCTCATAGGGTTATCGTGAAGACTGAAAGGCAAGTCAAACAGAACGATGTCAGCATGGTGTCCAGCACATGCTAGTTGCACGATGAGTAGTAGCAACTGTTATAGGACTCAGGTGGTTGAGGTGGCAAAGGAGAAGATCTCCAAGGTCAGGAAGGGGCAGGGTGGTTCAAAACGCAAAGAGAGGAGATTGTAGATACCATGAATTTTTTTCTAGAAGGTTTAGGTATCCAAGTTACATTCAAGAGGGCACATGCTAACAGATTAGAGAGTGGAGGCTGACAAGAGGCAAGGAAATTCTATAGACCTGATAAAGAATAATTGGAGGGAGGATTCTCTTCAGTGCATAGCACTCCCAGAAAGCATTCAGTCAAAGCTTAATGAATATGGTCAATAGATGTGATTTGTGGCAGAATCTTTAGACTGGAGCTTCCCACATCAGGCTCCTCTCAGCACAGACTCTTTGGAGCAGGTCCCGGGGCTTCTGAAGGGTTGCCTTCTCACATGACTCTGAGGCACAGCACTAGTGCAGTTGTCACTGACGATGCTGCTCAGGGGAGAGCACTTGCTTAGCTGTGCAAGACCGTAGGTTTGATGTCTAGTACCAAACGGGGGACATGTGGTTACTGAGGAATGAGATGGTGATGAAAGACAGAAAATGGGGCATGAGCATTTTTTTGATGTGAAGCTGAAGAAGTTAGATGGCTATGGAATAGTAGAAATGGGCTGATGGTTATCTTAACTCCAAGGCTAATAAAACCCAAGGATTTTAATGCTTTGAACCCCTCCTTACAAATTCCCATTTTGGGGGACACAAAAGAAAGAAGGTCGGAGGCAAAAAGAATTTAAAATGTGCTAACAAATTCAGAAACAGAGACCAGCTCTTTTCAGCTCAGCCCCAGTGGGTTGTATCTCTAGTGGATTTATTGATATAAAAAGTCTAGGGATTGGGGCCAAGTATTTGAAATAAAAATCTGCAGCCTGTACTTCATTATTTCTCTTTGCCAAAGCTCATCATCCTGTCAGGAAGCTTTTTATTCATTGGCCATGTGAATAAGCATTATGCTAAACTGGACATCCTGTTCCACTCTAGCAGGACTGAGGAAGTCAGCAAAACCACAGCTGAGAGTTACTGTTTTCTTCCACGTTACGATGATTCTCATGCTCAACCAGCACTACTGCCCTTAAGATATTTCATGCTGAGATGGCAACATTTTCTTTCACAACGTTCTAATAATCACTTGCCAAAAGCATGGAGTGCTGCAGGTGGCCTTCTGAGGGGATGTGGAGGTGTGGAGATGGACGCAGGGCCTGGCAGCAGCTCCGCCTCACAGCGCAGACTCCTCCCTTCCACCCGGACTTCAAGCCTTGCTCGTCCAAGCTCACCTTCTCCCTCTCCCGTGTCTGATTTGTGACTCTGGGCTTCTTTGGTACTTATTTTCCCTCATTTGGCCAAAGGGCCCCTGCTCTGACAGGATTCTGCAGTACCTGTCAGCCAGGCACATTCCCTTCCATAGCAGGTGCTCACGCTTGTCCATTCCTAAGGTCCCTTCTAACATCTTTTACAGAATATCATTAAAGTTGCTCATCGCAGGCCCCTCCCAGGACGAATGCTGCTCAGCCCGAGTAGCTCCCTTTAATGGGAGGCAGGAATAACACTGACCTGACCAAGAGCCCCAGTCTCTGCCATCACCCTCAGTCAGTTTTCCTTTGTAGAGAAACTGTTTCTGCTTTGCAGAACCTCCTGTTCTCATGTCCGACTGTTCTCATATGTAGAGCACAATGAATTACAACAGAAACTGGAAAAGAAAGAGAGAGAATGTGATGCCAAGGCCCAAGAGAAGGAAGAAATGATGCAGACCTTAAATAAAATGAAAGAGAAACTTGAGAAGGAGACGACTGAACACAAGCAGGTCAAGCAGCAGGTGGCGGACCTCACAGCCCAGCTCCATGAGCTCAGCAGGGTGAGTGCGGGCCAGGGCCTGGGCCTTCCCTTTGCTGCATCCTCACTTGCCCCAGAGCACCTCCATCTTGCAGTGAGGAAAGATAGTCTCAAGAGTTCCACAGTTGCTTGCTGCAGTTACAAGACTTGCTTCCTCTGCCAGTGGTAAATCCAGCAGAGTGGTGGTCTGGGATGTTGGTCTTGGCACCAGTCCTATACTCAGAGCACAGGGAATTGCATTAGCTTCTTAACCAGTTTCATGAAATCAAGTTGTATGATGGTACAAGAAGTGAGACAGATGTGAATGCTTTGCAGGCAGGCATCTAGTGTCACATACAAAGGGCCAGCTCCACCAAGCCCATGGAGGCCCTGAGAGGCCATCTGAGTTGGTAGCCCTTTAGACCCCACTCCCAGAAGTGTGGGTTTCCCTATAATCTACAGTCAGATTCACCCAGTGAATTGTCTTCTTGCACTGATCTCTTCCTATTTTTATCTTTCCAGAGGGCTGTCTGTGCTTCAGTCCCGGGAGGACCCTCACCCGGAGCCCCAGGAGGACCCTTTCCTTCCTCCATGCCGGGTTCCCTTCTCCCCCCGCTGCCCTCAACTCTGCCAGGTGGAGCCCCTCCTCCGCCACCGCCTCCCCTTCCTCCTGGAGGTCCTCCCCCTCCCCCAGGGCCTCCTCCCTTAGGAGGAATCATGCCACCTCCTGGGGCTCCAGTGGGACTGGCCCTCAAGAAGAAAAATATTCCTCAACCCACAAATGCCCTCAAATCCTTCAACTGGTCCAAGCTGCCTGAGGTAAGCCCTTCATTTGAATTTTCTCATAGAGGGGTAGAATCAGCAACTCTCTGTGTCCTTGCTGAAAGGGAGACACCTCTGGCCACTAAAGAATTTGTTCTCCAGCTTGGAGACTCAGGGTTCTCACTAGCTGACATAATTAAGTGATAAAGCTTTTGAAATATAGCCATGTTGTTTGAAACCTGCTCATGTTAAACATGTTGTAGGATGAGTTGAACATGTAGGATGAACAATTTAGGATAGTAGCACTTTTTAGAAAATAACCATGCCTGTTTTTTTTATGTGTAACTATAAACCACAGAACTTACTAACTTGATGTTTCTAGAACAAACTGGACAGAACAGTATGGACTGAAATTGATGATACCAAAGTCTTCAAAGTTCTAGATCTCGAAGACCTGGAAAGAACTTTCTCTGCCTATCAAAGACAGCAGGTAATAGCATGTGTTCTCCAGATGCCAAAATTGTTAAATAGTCACATCCTCACACATGGTCCCCGGGCTGTCTGCCATGACTGTGTTGTGACCAGCTCCTCAGTCTCATGCTGTTTGGTCTGCGCCAGTGTGTCCCGCAAGGCAGCATGGGGTGTGTGTAAATGCCTGTGTGGGGAATGTGAGCAGCTGAAGGTGTATTAGCTCCCCCTGAGGAAGCTCTGGCTGTGGTAAGTGTCCAAGCCCTTGACTTACTGGTGTGAAGACTTCTGGATATTATCACTATGCTTAGTCACTGGATCACCAGGAAAAAATATTAATAGGGGAGTTGCACAACTTATAGTGTCCCCTCAAGATATTTTTTTCTGGAGCCATTTTGCTTTATCAGACTTTTTTTTTAAAAAAAAGTTACATAAATACTACCAGAAGCAGAATACTTTTTGAAACAGATTGAATCTTTAGAAGTCTGGGGCTTGGAGTTGACTAGAATGTGGTGGCTACCTAGGACCTACAGAGACGGTTTAAGACTAAGCATTGATGTTGTGGAGTCCGCACAGATAGACAGATGGCAGTGCTATTCACGGGAGCAGAGAAACATGAAAGCTTTGGCTGTGGGAGCAGGAACATGTGCCTTGGTCCTTGCTGGCTACCTGTATTGAGGAAGCCAAGCAGGTGGCATCCTCATGAGGCCCCGTCATAGTCTCATGGTGTCTCACTCCTCCAGAGGCCTCTTTGCAGAGCTCTTAGGGTGGCTCAGAAGAGGCCACACAAGGTAACCAGGTACAGAGAACTCCAGAAGGACAAGGGACCTAGGGCCTTGGGAAATGGAAAAGCAGACCAGGAACAGGAGACTCAAGGAGCAGAGTAGCAAAGAGAGCATCCTGTGTCTCACACAGGAAAACAGTGCCAGGTAGCTCCAGGGGGCCTTCCTTGAGCTACGCCGGAGGCCCTTCACTACATCCAGGGCACAGCCCTTCCAGCAAACACCTCCCTTCCAGTCTGCACACTGACTTGGTTCCCAAGGAAGAATGTCTCAGAAAAGAAATGCCAGTTACCAAGGAGGAAGATGGGCTGGGGCTGGAGAGAAACAAAAGCAAAGGGATTGCTTGTCTAAACTTTCAAGATGACCTGTGATGCATCTGAAATAGGTTGGGAGGATAGTATTTAGCCGGAATATTCTACCCTAAGAAAGCCAAACTTCTCCCCAGTGCCTTTTGTGCTGGTTTAGTAATGTATTAAAGGTAATTGCCTTGCCAGCCTGCAGCTGGGCCCCTCCATAAGTAAGGTTGCAGCCTGTGCAGGGTCATACACACCAAATAAAAGACCAGGAGGAAAAAGAAAATAAGATACCTGATCTTACAGAGGACAGACAAAGCATGTGTTTGAAGACTTCATCCTGCAGGTTCTCTGGCCAGACTCCGTCCTGATAGAATGCAACACCTCTTCTGTCTCCCCACACCCACCCCAGGAGGTGTCCCTGGCCCTCAGCATGAACTCAGAGGACATTTTAGCAAATTTCCTAGGAATTCAGATAATCTTCTGACCTGCTCACATGTCCCATTGCTTTCCCACTCCAGTTTCAGTTACTGATCCTGATCCATACTGGATATCTAGATGAAGATTTGGGAATTTAGAGAAGTCCATTGAAGGAAGGGAAAGCAGCAGTTATTGCAAGTGATGTTGTTCAAGTCTGAGCATGTGGTTTGTGTTTGTTATGAAGGCAGGTGGTTGAAAGACCAAAGTTTATAAGACTCATAATTAACTGGCTTTCTGCAGAAGGCACAGAAGGATGCTGCCAATGTGCTCTGGGACAAATACATGGACAGTTCTCAGGCACTGTTGGAGATGGGATTGCACAGATCCCAGGAGTCGGGTAACAGTCTCCTGGCAAATAGCACTAAGTCGTCAGCAGTCATTCAGTCAGGATAGGCCACAACTCTTCAGCTGTGCCTAACACTCAGTAGACTGCTGTGAAGGGTGAGTTGTGACTACGTTTTCAGCAGCACTTCCTAAAGAAAACTTGCAGCACACCTGCTCAGCATAATTCAAGAATGTTTCCCCTTTTAATATAAGCCTTGGAGATGAGAATTTTTTCTCATATATATATATATATAGATGAATGTTGGTCTTTTGAGGAAGATCTAATGGTGGCTGATAGTTAAATTTATCCAACTTCCTTAAATATATTTTCCAAATGAGGGCAATTTGAACCATTTTATTGAATTTACTAAATGTTGAAAACCAGAAAATCAAAAGATGCAGACACTACGTGGAATCTGTAGGGCAGAGTAAAGCAGGCAGTACTTGTTGTTGGACATCCCCTCATCTCATGCTGGCGGCAGCGAGGACTGCACATTTTCTCTCAGTCGTGGCAGTGCAGTGTGTAATCATCACCCCGCTTAACTGCTGTTCTTTCTACTCCCAAATGAACGCTGGGAACCTATTTTTTCCATGGGGTCTCCTTTCTCCTCTCTCCAGAGTGATGAATCCCTGGTCAAACTCTGTGGACTTCAGCCAGTTGTTTAGCTAGATAAATTTTTCAGAGCAGCAAAAGAATACATGGATAGCATTACCTGCACACCTGCAGTAGGAGTACTATACAGTGTTTTTGAGAAGTCACAATATCAGACTAGTATAATTTAAATGAGGAATGATATATGAGGAATAATATATATATTTAAATGAGGAATATATATATATATATATAACATGCATGTGGATATAATAAACACACATACCTACATAAATATAGGCACATATTTATATGTACATTTACATAGCTATTATACATATATGAGAAATATCATTAAAATCAGATATTTATATTATTTGTTTTGTCTGTAAAGCACTTCAAAGGATTCAAATGCACTAAGCTATGATATAGGCCCACCATGTAATTTTATAATATAAAAACAAAGATGAAAAACGTGTAAATGATCATAATATAGACTACAAGATGATGGTCAGTATTAAGTATCCATTATATTTGTGGTGCTGAGTATGATACACACAGTTCCTAATCTTACCAACCTTAAAATTCAGTTCTCAAGAGCTCTTGTACTTTTTTGTTATTTAATACTCACCCCCAACTCTGTGAGGGGAATTTTATTTCCTTATTACAGATAGTAAAAATATGACTTAGTGTGAATTCAGTCTCCCAACAGGTAACACATTTAGGACTACAAAGTGGCATAATTCTCAGTGTCTCTTTGTTCTTTGTGCATGGTTTCACTCATTACAAACACCAGACTTTGTAAAGGATTTTCTTTAAATCCAGTTTTAAGAACATGACCACTCTTATTCAGAATTTTTTTCAGTGCATATATCAAAGTGTGGAGAGCTGATTATGTAAGCTTATGTGCCACTTGAAATGGAATTTAATAACATGCCATTATTCCTGCATTTGCATTCCAAAAGTTCATTTGAAAGTCAATTTCTTAAATGCAGAAACCTTTTTCCCCATTGAAAGTACATTATACATGATTTCTAAGTCAGCCAAAAGAGATTTATTTTAATACATAATGTGAATGTAGCACATTGCATAGTAGTATTATTTCAGATACAATTGTTTTATGGAGAATTTTCATTCTGCCCTGCTGGAAATTCATTCCTGCCTGTCCATGCAGTTAGCAGCGCAGGCGAGCTAATGGTACTACACCTGCCTATAGGGAGTCCTAACTCCAGAACAGTGTGGTACCAGCTCGTGGGTTCTTTCTCCATCTTGCTCTTTCTTTGAGGACAACCCTGCTTTTAGGGTCCTCTTATCAGCACCTAGTACAAAATTGCAAAGCCTTTGTGTTCTAATTTATGGAACAGAAAATAACTACTGCCTAGCCCCAGAATTCACCATTGCTGATATATATAAGTCATTTTGGGGGAGTCCCTTTTAAAACATTTAGTGGTATCTTTACTAAATGGTCAAAGCATTTTCCTTTTTTAGTTTCTTCACAGTGTTATTCTGTAATCTGACTTGCATACTTAAAATTGTATTATTTAGGATATTTATTTCAGTAATCTTAGTCCTTAGCCTTGGTATATGAATGCAGAAGAAAAAATTGTGACTAGTTGCTTTCTTCATACCAACATATAAGGCTGGAAGTTCTGTAACTGTGCTACATGATAAGAGTTCATCCAGAATTCTGTATAAACATTAGTATATGCATTTTTCTAAAAAGGGATATCCAGTTTTTATCAGATTTACCAAAGTATTTCAGCCTCAGAAAGATGAGGAATCATTCTTACAAGTATTGTCCTTATCCCTGAAGTCCTTACTTCATTGTGGGGCCCTGTCAGCACTTGTTCCGGACCGTTTAAGTGCCTGCTTCTTATTTATATCCTAAATCCTAAGCCCTACATCAGAAATCACTTGAAAAAATCAAACATTCTGTCAGGGGAAGCCAAATACAAGTGATTCTAGCATATTTTACCCAAGCCAATTAAAAGTATCTTTTTATATTTTCTTTTGATTTTTGAGTGAATAAGGTTTCAAAATGAAGGTTAAGTTGTTTCATGAAATTAAGCCTGAAAGCATTGTGATTTCAAATATGTCCTTTCTAATGAAACTCATAAACTTCGTGGTTTTGTTTATAATATGCCAATTAATAGACCTTTAAGTGGAATCGTTAGGCTAGCAATTAGCCAAACTCCCCCATAGCATTTTTCATCCTCACCTTCAGTTACATGAGCTGTGTTACCGAGCTATTAGCTGTTGTGCTACTGCTGCTGGAGTTTGCCAGTAGGAGATGTTGACTAGCTCTTCTGTGCCTTAGCTGAGAAAAGAACAAAAGGGGAATAAATGGATCAACAGTTGGAAGAATAAAATAATTGTATCATATAATTCCAAGTACTGAGCTCATAACTGTGTCAGATACTGTGTAAGATGCTTTACATACGGCATCACATTTAATCCCACAATCATAATCCAGTTGTTAACACCATTTTACAGATACAGAATCTAAGCCCCAAGCCACACATCCACTACGTGACAGCTGCCTGATTCCAAAGCACAGCACCTGTGCTAGAGGTCAGACGTCTTAGTTTCCTGACAGCGGAAACAAGATTTGCCAGCGAACTTACTAAAAATTTCTTCTTTGAAGGCCAGATAATGAGAGCAGGATCTGAAGTCGTGTAGTACCTTTCCCTGTAAGAGGAGGAAAAAAAAAATCGATCAAGGAGACCTCATGGACTTTCTTTCACCGTAGGCTTTTCTGCACTGGAAAGGAAACTGGTTTTATTGTCCTAAAGACGGTCAGAGTAGACAGCTTGACAATTATAATAGGAACAAAATAAAATTGGGGTGTCAGAGGGAAAGAAAAGTTTCTTGTGGTTATCAACTTACTTTTTAAATGCCATGCTAGGAGAGCAATCCTGCCCGAGTGGGCAGAGCAGGAGAGGGCATGTCCTGTTTCCCGCCAGGAGAATGTGAGCAGCTCACCAGTGTGAAATTGGCCCTGGCAGTCCTGCCGAAACCAACGAAACCTGAAGGAATCTGCTGAGCAAATGCTAAGCAATCTGGTGGTGCAGGCTGTTGGCCCAAAGCTGGGACGTGCTTTGCACACCAAAGCTTTATTCATTCAGCATCGCAAAAGTATGCAACAGAAGCTGTCACTTTCTCATAATGTGTCAATTACTTCTCTTTTCCCTTCTTGACCCCATCTTTTCTAAAAAGAATTTCAAGAAGAGGCTTGTGTGCTTGAATAGCTCTGCAGGAATTTAGACAGAACCACCAATGGCTGCACCCACCTGGAACCACTGATTGCCTCTCAGTTGCCCATTCTATCTTTTCCCTCACCCCCACTCACCGCAGTACCTATAGGCCAAATTTGGACCCTCTCAGGTGTTCCACTTGTCTTTTCTTAATTCTTTCTAATGATATCAGAGAATAGGAGATTAACAACAAAACGTTTTTTTTTTTTTAATAGTACATAACAGTGGGAAGAGTTTTCTCCAGAGATAAACTTAATTAATACGCTTTTGCTTCAACTTAAGATCAGTGTATTAGGTGGAGTCTAGTGTTTTGTTTTGCTTTCTTTTCTTTTCTGTTCTGTCCTGTTCTGTTCTTTTCTAAGAGGATTTGTTGTTTTTCCAGCTGGGATGTGCTAAGCCCTTTTCTAAATTTGATTTGCCACCAGTGAAAACTGTGAACAGTAAATGTTGTCCTTCTCTGCCCCATACGCTTTGTATCATGAGTGTTTTCATTGTCTCTTGGGCCAGACTCTCTCCTCATCATTAACTTTTACTGGTGATTTAGTGGCGTAGATCATCTTGTACCCTGCTCCACTGATTCCCCTGACTGCTTTGACTTCTCCCATTCGTTGCTATGATTTCTGAACTGCATGTATCTGGTTTGCCTTTTCCATGCCTCTGCCATGGCTGTAGGATTTCTCTGTGAACAGTAACTCCAGGCAGGTAAGTCTGCTACTGTGTATGCCTCTTATGATACAACTCCTTAGCTCACTCTAAGCTTGAAGTTCCTGGCTTATCCTGTTATTGCTGTTGTTCAGTAGTATACTTCCACATTGGGTTTCAACTCTTAATGGAAGCTGTATAGATATGCTTGAAATCTTAGCACAAGAGACATCACACATCTGACACCATGATGCCTCATATTGTAAATTCCATGTTGCTTTTGCTTTCCAACTATCATACAGTTCTGTAATTCTTTTGGTTTACTTACATTTGTAAATGCCATAATCCACTGTTAATTGATCCTGGAGCTTATGAAATCAAATGTCCTGTTTATCAAGTTAGACTGTGTTTTCGCCTTGAACTTTTTGTTATAAGATCTTTAGTGTGCAGTTAAGTATTTTATACATATTTGTTTTGTGCCTGTTGCACTATAATTACGGCTGGCCATCATTGCTCAGTACAGCAGCAGGATGTGCCAGTAGTGTTTGTTAACTCAGGTAACTGAACTGTCCTGGGCTGAACTAGTCCTGGGCTGCCCTGTCCCTGTTGGGCTCCAGGTAATGCAAGGTCCCCTCTGGCCCGGGAGCTTCCTGCTGTACATGAAGATGTTTAGGAAGCCTTCTTATGCCTCTTTCTTAAGTATTCGGCGTGCAAATGGTTCTGGGGTGGGACTGGGCCCTGCAAATGGCTGAGCTAGTAATGGCAAGCCTCTGCTGAGTTTGATTCATAGTGACAGCTCTTCTATCTGCTGTCCATAGGGATTTGGGGGACAAAAGGATGACATTGCTCACTGATAATTTATGCACCCTTAGCATCTTCAACTTAGAAGCACTTTGTTCTTTCAAATGTGGGTGATCAGTTTTTTCTTACTAATATTTGTTTTTGCCAACTAGGTGGTAACCTTTGTTCAGCCTCACCACCTTGCAGCACTCCCTACTGCACCATTTCAGCTTGGCTTGCGTGTTGCACACGCACATGCGTGTGTGAATGGACAGTGAAATAGAACACTCTTGTGTGAAGTCTGAATGTCACTGTTAAGACTTCGATGGATTTCTTTTGTGCTCTTTACAGAAAGAAGCAGATGCTATTGATGACACACTGAGTTCCAAGCTGAAAGTCAAAGAGCTCTCAGTGATTGATGGCCGGAGAGCCCAGAATTGCAACATCCTTCTGTCGAGGTATTGTTAATGTTGAATCAACATTTCTAGTAGGACCAACTTTTCTGTTACATGGCTCAGAAACACATTTGTCACTTCATTTTAAAAGCACCCTGCTGAGGGACAAATCTTTGGGTCCCCTGTGTTTTGGGTAAGGAGGATTTTTGGTGTTTACTTTCCCTAGTGGAAACTATCAGAGCTGGATGCCACCTCTCATGGGGTTTGATTTCCTCAGACTTCTTAATGTAAAAGTAGAATATCCTCAATCAATGTTTTCTTCCCAGAAGGCTTGTAAAATGGAGTTGTCTTTTATTTACACTTCTTGGCAGTAGAGATATTTCAGTCTTTCACTAATAGAATAGAATCAGGATTCATGTTGATGGCTCTGTGTTTTATTCTGCTTTCTAATATCACCTTTTTATATTTTAAGATTATATGACTTCATGCTTTTAGGGGGCTTTTTTATGGCTAAAAAGATGTAAATCTCAAACGTCAGTGAAATGTTAATTTGTCTGGTTCAGTGCTATTCAGAAATCTTTCTCATAACTAGTGAACCGTCACTGCCTTGGAACTTGAGAAAAAGGAAATTGTGAGCTTGGAATCTGATTGCAGCTTCAGGCAGCGTTGTCAGATCATTCTGGGCATTTCAAGTAGCTTTTCTGTATCTAATTTCTCTAAAAGGGACTTTCACATTAGACAAAGACACCTAATGCTTATGAAGTGCATGGAAATGTAAAGAATGCTGAATGTTGCAGCTTTAAAGACGAGTTACGTGCTGGAAGGAATGCCTTATGTGCAGTGAGCCTGCTATAAGGTGACTGTCTTTCAGGGAGGGTGAAGAGGGAAAGCACCAGACGTTATTACCTAAATGGTCTGAGACCGAGTTTCTTTTAACACAAAGAGCTGCTGCTTGGTTTTCAACATGGAAGTTTGATTGTTGGCCAGATATATATTACTTTAGGGAGCAAATGTTTCTTTTAGTAAAAGAGAAATTGAGCCTTAATGAGATCCCTGAATTTTAATGCAACTTGTAAGGTAACATGAGCCACCCTGTTAACATTTCATTCTGCTCTAACTGGAAGCTATGTAAATGGTCAGGCTCTGTATTTATTCTGACTTTTGCTCCATGAATCATACTTAGGTTAGATAAGATGTCTCTCTACCTTAGGAAGACACAATAAAAAAATAATACAAAAGTTTTGTTTCTCTTCTACAATGTATCTGATTTGTTTTGTTGCCTTTTTACAAATAACATTCATAACTGAAAAATTAAATGAAGATTTGGAAAAGTTGTCCTTTTTTTTTTCATAAATATGAAAATTTCTCCCTATACTTTGTGCTTTTTCAGCAGATAAGCACTTTAATGCAATTTGACAAAGGGAGCTATCACTGGATTTCTATAGTGTTGAAATACTTGTACAGTAAAAACTGTGACCTAGTTCCTCATAGACAGATTATTCCCAATGCTAAGTGCCTGCCAGGGTAGTTACACTCATTATAGATAAGGTTACAACTCTTTCTGGCAAATTTCCCATTTGGTTGTTGAAGGAATTATTTCATATTTGTGGTATGAAATTCCCTGTTACCTCAAAAGTGTCAGAATATAAGGTAACTTAAAATTTATATGTGTCTCAACTCCCTCTGGAAGACAATTTTAACAACTTGTGTCTGTTAGATTACCTGTTACAGTCCAGTTTAATGAACAAGTGTTATTACAGTGAGCACAGCTGAAAAGCATTGTGGGTAGCCGAGTAAGCTTGAGTCGCCCTTGCTCTTTGGTAGTGGTGCCACATTCGTTGGGTTACAGACCTTCTCTCCACAGAGGACTCAGGACCATTTCCTCTTTTGCTTAACCGTTGATGGTTTTACTGTCCCATCAGGAAAGCACACAGCTGACATCTGAAATGTGCTGTGGTGAAGGTGAAAGAAATCAGGCTAACTTGCATTTTATTTAGTTTTTTAACCAATGAGGATTTTTTGTTCCCTCTTTCCATTGAGAATTCATTCATTACTGTGCACAGAAAAGAGATAGAGGCTCAAAAAGAGAAGAGATGTATAAAAGTATGTTTGATGCCTTTTTTTAGTCAGCTCTGTGGAACATATATTTGTCTAGCACTGTGCTAGTCCCAGTAGGATTTACCAAAGTGTAAGATAGTGTTGCTTCTTTTGAAAACTCAAGGCTAACTGGAGAAGGAAAATTCTGTACAGGTAAGAAAACTTAAACAGTTCCGGGATTGCACTGGTCTGACTTGAAGGACTCAGGAAGTCCAGCCAGTGAGAAAGGGGCCACAGTTTATGAGAGAAAGCAGGTTTTGAAGGCAAGCACAGTGCCATCAACACGGGGGGCAGGGAAGGCGGCTCCGAGGAGGCTTGGAGCAGGAGTGGGGAGCCCTGCCACTGCAGTAGAAGATCATCACTGGGATGGAATAACCTTGCAGCAGAGCCTGAGATTCCTGTCTTGTGCCTTTATAAGGGCATGTGTCAGCCAGGGCCAAGTCCTAGCCTCCTTGTCTATAAAAGGGAGATGAAACTAGGAAAGGCCTTTTTTTACAGCAGGCTTGTGAAATGCCCTGATGCCTATAAAGCCCCCGGCAGGGGCCTCTGCATGGTAGCCATTCAGTTAGTGACCTCTTTGTGTTCATGGGATCAGGAAGTGGTGCATTTGTTCAGGAGGCAAACAGTATTTGCTTTAATGAGGTTTAATATTTAGTCTCAGGAGTTTGTTGATGAGTTGGAAGGAATCGCAATGTGGATGCAAAGGGAACCTCAGGTCCTTCTTTCTCTTAGTGGGATGAGACCTGAGGAGGGGCAGAACTGAGAGGGGAAGAACCCCTGGTAGGACTTGGGTCTGAATTTGTGTTGGGGACAAAGAATAGTAATGTTTCAAAGATGATGTTAAGATTGCCTCCTTTTCCATACTTACTGTCTTCCTTATTCTCTGCTGACTTCATTCTCAGAGTTGGTGAATGGCTCCATTTTTTATCTTGCCTACTAGGGACTTATTTTACTGCAGTCCTTACTCTGACGCCGGCTATGATGAAAGCCTTGGTGTATTCCAGGGCTGTGTTCCCACAAGCACATTTGAGACCATTGGTGTTTGGTTTGCCTTTAAAGCTTCTCCTCGAGTGTTACAGAAGTTAAGGCTCCCTTGGCTAAAGGGCACCTGCCTAAGCCTTATCTGGGCCAAGCAGACAGGCAGCTTGCCTTGTGCACGCATGGTAGGCAAGGTATTTACAGCTTGTGGGGTCAGAATCACTTGAATCTCCCAAAAAAGGCAGATGTCTTGGTTACTTTTCTCTCTTTGCAGAGACAAAATACCCAACGCCCCAAATGAAGGAAGGAAAGGTTTATTTAGCTTACAGTTTGTGGAGGTTTCAGTCCATACTTGGCTGGCTCCGAGGCAGAAGATAGCAAAGCAACAAGAGCAAAGCGGGGAATGGCAGCCAAACAGCAAAGCAGCCAGAGCAAAAGGGAGGAATGGCGGCAAGCAGCTTCTTTCCCTGCCTTACTTTGTAAACAGGCTACCCCCACCTAAGGGGCGTGTAGCTCTCACATAATCTCCATGCCCTCCTCTTCCACAGGCTCAGGATGTATACAAAGTAAGCACTCTGGCTTCCTGCTAAGTCACTTAGCCAAACTTCTAGACTCCCCAAGTTGACACAATGTATCAACCATAACAGCAGAGGACATGTGAATTTGAACAGGGAGCTCTGCGACCCAAGTACTATGCTTTTCAGAGAGTTGTGCAGACAGTGAAATGGATAAGACACACTTCTGGCGCTGTTAAGACCTTGCTTCATACCTGTTAGACTGTTAAAATCCAATATAATGAATATGTTATTCTAATAGGCCCTCAGCAGAGTAAGGAGCTTTTTTACTATGTGTATGTGGGTGACATACACCAATCTAAAATTCAGCTTTAATTCCCCCAAACAGTCCTGTCCGCTCCCTCCCCCAAAAAAAAAGAAAATGAAAGAAAGAAACTTGGAAGCAAGTTTATACTGCAAAATGAAACCACCTAAAATACACTTTTATGAAGTGTTCTGCCATTCTTTTTCTCCAAATACTCATTTGACATAGCAGCTGGGGTGTCATAAACCGCCAAAAGCTACTTTAAAATAGAGGGATTTGGCTTAAATCCATCAAAGCAGAGCTAAGGCTGATCTAGCCATCAATCCGTATTTTAATTACTCCTGGATGTTCCAATTCTCTCAGCAAGTTTTTGAAATACACAAGTTGAACAAGGTAAAATTAAATGCTGTTTTAAGATGACTGGTTTGTTTCCTGCCCTGTAAAGGAAGTTGAACTAGATGTCTCAAAAGTGGTCACCCTCCAGCTCACCAGAACACTGCCAAGCTTGTGAGCAATAAAAGGCTAGAATTGGTAGGGTCCTTAAATTACAGAGATTAGAGACTCATTCTGTGCATGACAGATGATACTAAGAACTCTGCAACCTACAGAACCATCCCAGGAGGCGGGGTACCCTTCTCCCCTTTCCCCTGGGTAGGGTTTCCTTTGTCTGGTCCAGCAGGCCACGTGCCTGGCGGTAGGTTGACAGGTAGATTTTCTTAAGTACTAGCCATTAACATCTCCAGTCTCTTTGTGGGCCACATTAACAGAAAGCAGAATTGTTATGAGTTAGGGCAAGCATTTAGTCCAGACAGCCTCTGGGGGTTGAAGAGCATAAATATATACAATTTCAAAAGCATGAAGTTCTGTACTCCATATGGGAGCTAATGAAAGGCAAATCTGATACTTCAAGTATTGTTCTCACTGTGATTTTCAACGCATTTTCTTTTAAATGTAAAACAGAAGAGCTCCACAGAGCTACACCATAAAATGGTTGCTTCAAGTCAGTGTGCAAAGGACACAGACTCATTTTTTTTTCTTGCAGGCAGATCTCTTTCGTGTTGATAGTAGACGTTCCACACCGGTTGGCTCCCGCTGTGGCAGTTTCGGCCTTCTGCTCACATTTCTTCCCTTGGGTTTCTAAGGCTGTACCATGGTGCTGTCCTCAGATTGACGCAGCCTGTGGCATCTGGGACCTGGGGCCGCCCAGGCCTGTGCAGTTGGGCTCTTGGTGCTGATACTCTTTTCCCCTGCTGCATGCTTTGCTCGGGCCAGCTCAGCAGAATTACCCCACTGAATCCTGGGGATTTCCTGTTGCAGTGTTCAGGAGAAGATGTTTATAAGGAACTTAGTTGTCCCGGGAAGGACTGAAGCCATCTGGAGAAGTCTGTTGGTGCCAGGATCGCTCTGCACAGCCCGGGGGCCATGAAGCCACTGTGGAGGAGACAGGATGCATCTTCCTCGTTAGCATGAGCAGGATGGCGTTTTCCTGGCTGCTGTGCGTGGAGGATGATCGAAAAACACAAGTTTTTTTTAGAACCTTAAATTAATATAAAAGACACATTGCCATTCATCCTCCTCAAAATCTCCCCCCTCACTTTGAACACACTTATCCCATCCCTCTTGCCACTTTCTGAAGCAGTTTTAAAAGGCCTTTTTTGTGATCATCTTCATTGTGCTGCTGTGGCTTCTTGGGTTTGCTAGATTGGTTCAAAATGTTCACCTTTCCTGGTGATTTGATTATGAAGAAGAAAAAGCACAGAAATCACATGGTGATGGATCCAATTAACAAAGTAGATAGGGACACACTGCTATTTTTATGAGCCTATCTTTCCAGCAGCAACCTTCACTGTATTTTTGATCACAACTCATAAGTATACTCAGTCTTTTTAAACCTTCCGGACCTAATGTCATAGACAGGGAGGAAACTGATGAAATAATGCATAAGAGAGTAAAGGTCATAAAAGTACCGCTGCTTTTTTTGGTAGAGATAAGTCTGCCTGATAGAGCAGACATGTAGTTTATGGAGCCCTTTCTGTGGCCAGTAAATACTTCGCATGGACTGATTAACTCTGTTCAGTCTGTATGTGCCTCTGCACACACACTGTCCTTTATTTTTTGATGTAGTTATTATTCCTCTTTTACAGATGAGGAAACTGAGGCTTAATAAAAGGAATTTCAGGGTCTCACTGACCTTGTGGTGTCAGAATCATGACTGACACCGAAGCCCTTATCTTCAAAAGTTACATGTTATATGTCCACGTCTTGCTCTCCATTGTGTCTTCATGTCTTTAGCTTCAATCCTAAATGTTACTCTTGGAGTGCATATGGGTTAGAAGAACACATCAAGTGACCTTCAGATGCTACATTAGTGGTAGCTTATTAGGAAGTAGGATGTAGAGCTGGGCACATGGGTGCATGCCTGTAATCCCAGAACTTTGTGAAACCAAGGCAGGAGGATCACAGGTTTGAGTCCAGCCTGAATAACTTAGTGACTTAACAAGACATGTCTCAAAATAAAAAGTAAAAATGGGGCTGGAGATGTAGCTTAATGTGAAGGCCTTATCATCCATCCCCAGTGCTGATCAGTCAGTCAGTCAGTCCATTAAAGTATGAGTCTGATGCTCACAGATAGAACAAAGAAATGATCTGTTCTCACAGCTGATAATGTGGTTAAGATTATTTACTGCAGGTAGGACTACTGTAAAACATTTTTATAAGTATATTTTAGGGCTGGGGATATAGCTCAGCAGCACAAGTGCCTGCCTGGCAAGCGCAAGGTCCCGAATTCGATTCCCAGTACAAAAAAAAAGTATATTTTAGTTTCATAACCTTACGTTTTCTAGTCAATACCTTATTGTCCTGACTCAAAACGCAGGTCCTTAATTGAATTAATAATTCATTTAAGTTTATGCTGGACAGAAAAATGGAAAACCGATTTGTGTTTTTGCCTAAATCTTTCCCTATGAGGTATTAACTAGATAAGAAATATTTGTGTGGTTGTTGTTTTTTTTTTAATTGCAGATAAGCAGGCACAAGAGAGCTTGGGCATGTGGGTACTGTCGCTTTCTGTGTTTGACCTCGGGCAAGTCACTTGGCTATTCTGAGCCTCTGTTTCTCTATCTATTAAAGGAAAGGACAGGTTTTTTTGAAAGTTGAATGACAACTCTTCAGCTAGGAAGTGCAGAGACATTTTATTTATTTTGTATATTAACTGTTACTTAACTCTTGAACAGTAACATGTAGTTTCTAATATTCTCGAAATGCATTTTAACCTGACAGCAAAATGCTCTAGATATATCATTATCTCAAGAATTTAGTTTTCTCATCTGTAGTTCATGGGTGCAGTATATAGATAAAGATAGCTGTGTGTGAGTACTTTCCCTGGTTCTAGTCTTCCAATCCTGTGCTTTGGGAAACTAAATGGTAGAACACAGCAGCTTTATTCTGTGTCCTTAGAGCATTACAAAGCCCTGAAAGAATGTTAAGACAGTTTCAAAATCTTATTTTCAGTTTCAAAATACTATTTTGTCAGGAAGTAAGCTTTCAGTGAGACTTTGAGAAAAATCGTACTTGAAAATTGCAATCGGGGTAGCAGAATGAGTTGTATTAAACTTTTAAAGTTCATACAGATATTGCTAACAACATATTAACATATTCTGTCTCCAGGTTGAAATTATCCAATGATGAGATCAAACGGGCAATTCTAACAATGGATGAGCAGGAAGATCTGCCCAAGGACATGTTGGAACAGGTGAGCTGCCAGACATTTCTTGAAGCGTGAGTGCTGCCTGTCAGCAGGGAATGATAATTGGGAAAACCTGGTTGTTGCTAACAGATAACTTCCACACCTCTGAATTGAGGAGGCTGAAGCAGCGTTCCATGTGGCTCTTTGAGAGACTTCATGACTTTGTTTTCTCATTGTTTCTCAAAATACTAGCTGAAAGGAGTTACAAGTTTGTCAAAGCCTTTGACTCACACTGTCAGATTCTGTCCCTTGAGCCGCAATTAAATATTTTATGTTAGGAGCTCACATAAGTATACTACCTCTGGTAGAGAACACGTGTTTCACAGGAATGCTGAGAATCACACTAGCACTATGAGATTACAGACTGTACTACATAAACTGATTCATTACTAAACAGTACGATTTGTGTCTTGGTCTTGGCTCATCATTCCCACAAGTGCAAAAGCCACTATTAAGCCCCAGCATTATCATAAGTAGCCATGTGTCATGAGATGAATTATCAGATTCTTGGGGCTAAGTCTTATCTCTGTTCATGTATGTTATTCTCTCTGTCATAAACAGTAGTAGGGCCAAATCCCAGGCCCTGCAAGTGTGATTTACACATACTATGCATCGTCGTCCCTGGCCGAATTTTATCACTCATAGCCAAGTAGCCAGTCTCCTCTGGTGTCCAGTCCTTCTTCACATAGTGTTTCTATAGCACTTCTGCTTAACTACTCTGACTTTGTCCAGTGTTGTTCAGCTTTATTGCTGCCATTCAGTTGTCCCCAATGACAGTGTTATTGTGCTATGACATGTCCCAGAGCTTGTCACCTGTCTCCTTCCCCTGCCCCTTGATCTGGGCCTATATTTTTCTGAGCTTTGTGGTAGTATTCGCAGAATGCTCTAAGATTGTTCTCCCTTTCTGTCTCATTGTCCATGGGATGGAATCAAAGTGTCTTTTATCAGAGCCAGATCCACTTAAGGTTGACTACAGGCACAAGAGACCATGATTCCAGGCCAAATGTGGGCTCTCATATGAAGCATGCTTGGCTCCAAGAGCAGAAAGCAAGGGTGTTTTGCACTGGTAACCATGGTCTAGATTGTGAGTAAGGCCATTTAGGCTGAGAACCTGTCTTTCTTCATGTGCATTTTCCATGGTCCTGACCGGCAGCCTTGAAGGCCTCAGACACAAAGCAGGAAGCAGTTATTTGTGTTTATCCCTCCCCAAATGGACCTGCAGCTGGTGTTGTCCTGGGTGAAGACCTTCATACATAGCAACAGAAACACCATTCATGCTGTCCTTTAAAGGTGTGGTTTGTCTGAGTGATTAATGACTATGTCATCAAAGCTTCATGGTGCTCTGCGTGGGGATAATTTAAAGGCAGCCATACCTTCCTAGAGTGAGTTCCAGCCCATCACAGTCTCCTCTCCCTCACCATGCTCCAGTCACAACCACTGCTGGCCTGGGACAGTGGCCCAGCTCTCTTGGGCCCTCTCCGGCTCCCAGGTGACCCTGCCTTCCAGTTGCTTACCCAGAGTGAAGTATTAAGTGGAAAGCTGCGGTAGTACTTCAGTCCTTAGCCCCTATCGACAAGGTCGTATATTTAAAATTCCGCAAGATCTGTTTACTGTGAAACTGCATCCAGCAAGATTCTGCTCTGAGGGAAAGGATTCCAAAATCTTGCCAAAAGCTCACAGTGCAAATAGAACATATTTCAAATAAACACTAGTAAGAAAATCTGTCTACTGATGCAGAATCTGGCCAAGAAAGATATTTTGACCTGGTCTCTCCTAATAATTCTGTGAGATCTCTGTTCAGCTCCCATGCTCTTTCTTTCCCCATTATTTTACTTTTCTTCCTCTTTTTCCCTTTATTCTATACTCTGCTCTTCCTAGACAGGTTTTAATGTCAACATCTCTACCCCTATTTGTGATTTGCGTTTAGGGCATGTCTCTCTCTTCCAGTCATGCTGCTTGTGGCTGCTGAGCTCAAGTTTCAGGTGAGATATGCACTCCTCTTCCTCGGAATCATCTCTTCCTGCCTGTTCAAAGCCTCCCCAACTGCCCTCTCTCTCAGAGCCCTCCGCACACAGTGCCTCACTCAGCGCTCCTCTGGGAGGGGCCAAGCTTGGGCATGTGCCTTTTGCTATATTATACATGGAACAGGTAGACAGGTGAGACAGGGGCTGTGCAGGTTGCCAAAAGGACCCCTGAGACTGGAACTGAGTTCTCTTGCCCAGTAAGTAGCAGTTCAAACTAACGGAGAAAAATAAACCCAAACCTTTTTCTCCCTTTCTTCCTCCCTTCCTCTTACCCACTACCTTTCTTTCCTTCCGCACTGAGAAAGAACACATATTTTGAATACAACAGAAATGTGTAGGAGCTACCTTCCCGGCAGGCTTCCTTCTGTCTCTTCTTCCATCCCCTTCAGAGAAAGGGGCTGTCCTTAGCCTCCGCTCTGGCTCCATCCATTCCTTCTACTCACGAGCTGCACTGCCGACCCTATCCTGGGTCTTAATCCTTGTCCTGCTTACTGTCAGCTTATTGCAGTCTCAGTCTGCGCGCGCGCACGCGCACACGCGCACACACACACACACACGCGCGCACACACACACACACACACACACACACACACACACCCCGGCTACCGTCCTTTCTTTCCAGCATGGCCGAGTTCTTGAAAACCTGTCCTCACTCAGTTCCTATTCATTCATCCTATTTCTCACCTCCCTGAAGCTGTTCTCACTGAGGACACTTGCAGCTTCCCTTTTGGCAGAGCCGGGGACACTTCACCATCCTTTATCTTTCTTACTTCTCAGTGCCCTGTGGTTGCTGTGGCCACCGGCTCTGGCTGTACCACCGTAGCCTTCTCCGACGGTTCCTCCTTCTCTTGGCCTGGTCCCTTTAGTTCTCCTTTTCTCCACTTCAGCTTTTTCCTCTGGACAGTCTCACATCCGTGCCTGCCTGTTATAACTAAAGCTAGTAGTCTGACTTCCAAATAGATCTCTTTAAGATCCATTTGTCCAGGTACCTCTGAGAAATCACTATTTAGTTCTCTTGAGACTACTTCAAACACTAATTCCTCTTCCCCTTCTCATCGCACCTCAACCTCTTCTTCCTGGTTTCCTTGTTAAACGTGGTACATGTTGTTGCCTAAGCTGAAAGCCTAGGCCTCATCTGTGACTCTTTTTCCTTCATTTATCAAAGTCCACCCATCACAACTCACGCCAGTTCCATTCAAAACTCCTAATAACCCTAGAATCTATCCACCATCCCTATCCAGTCCAGGGTACCATCTCATTGGATTATTACACCAGCTCTCTAGTCACATGTAGGATTTTGTTCCCTTCTAATTCTTTCTCCATTCTGAAAGCTCAGTGTTCTTTTAAAAATGCAAGCTCTCTCCTGTTACATAAAAATTTGAAAGTACTATATATCCCAGTAGGCCCAAAATAAAGACAATTTCTTCCAAGGCCATTGCTGCTCCCTGCTCTTGCCCGCTTCTATTCCTCCTGCTGTCACTACAGCTGCTCTTTTCCCTGTGTAAATGTCCTGCCTCCTGTGCCAGGCCCTGGGACATGGTAGGCACACTACACAGAACGTATTTCCAACCTCCCACCACTTCCCGTAATTCCTCATGTCTCCTTCCCTCTGATTCCAATTCTCTCTCTCTTTTGATGGCATCCACACAGCCTTTTCTGAGCTCCCCCCCCCATTAGTCACTTACCAGTCCAATTATTTAAATACAGGATAACCAAAAATCACATTTTTTGGTAATTTTTATAAGATAATATAATGGGAAATATATGTTTATTCAATACAACAGTTGACTGGCTGAAATGACACCTGCCTGAGCGACACTTGCATAAGCAAGCACACTGCCCAAGCAACACTCAGAGTAACCTGTTAACTGGTTAAGTCCAACAGACATTTGAAGCCCTACTAAGTGGACCATCCAATGCCCACATCAAGTTATGGAGAGGATCTCAGCATTCAGAGAATGTTTGATCTGAAAAAGCATGTGTGCATGTTCCTCTGCGTACATATACAAATGTGTGTATCTTGAAATCAGACACATTCAGAAGTATTTTTTCCACGTTAAGTATTGTTGCTGTTTCTTCTTATGCTCTGCTCATTTCATCCTTCAAAATTAAATATGGAATCAAAAATGTCAGATCCAATTGTATTCCTCATTCAACTCTACATGGATCAATCAATTAGATGGAATTAGATAACCAGAAAAATAAGAAAATTGAATTATTTATTTAGTCATGACTTACTAGAAAAAGGCATAGAGCTAGGAGTCAGGGAGACGGGGGTTCTATTTCTGACATGTACACAGCTTTGTACCCTGGGTCAGCTTCTTCATCGCCACCCTCAGTGTATCTTCTTCCTACAAGTGTCACATCTGTGAAGTCCCTCCACAGTCTGGACAGGGGGTACTGGAGGGGATGTCCACAGGTCTTACTTGAGAGACTATAGAAACTAGAAGGGTGCCAGAAATGAACTGTAGATCAGCTTAACTACTTTCAAGCAAAAATGTAAATATTTAATCATTCCCATTATATCTCAGCCCCCCATGAGCAGAGTTTATAATTCAAAAGTTAAAATTTCATCTTGGGACAAATGAGCTGAAAGTGTAAAAATGTCCTACAGAAGTGTAAGTTATAAACTTTGATTTTAATGTCTGCCTTTTAGCTTTTGAAGTTCGTTCCTGAAAAAAGTGATATAGACCTGTTGGAGGAACACAAACATGAACTGGATCGGATGGCCAAGGCTGATCGGTTTCTTTTCGAGATGAGCCGGTGAGTTGGAAGATGGGGAAGATGAGTGAAGCCCCTACCTTACTAAGTTAAACCTGCAGTTTGGGTTCAATTGCTTGGGCCAGTTACCTTGCTTACCTTCAAACATTTTTAGATTCTAGGTGTTTGTTCCCAAGCCTGAGCTGTGTGGAATTTGATTGGTGTTTTACTTTTGTGAGTTCTAACCCAGGGTGAGCCAGGACCAGGGTTTCTCCACAGCGCGCCCTGCTTCTAGGCCTCCCTGGTTATGTGCTGTGACCTTATTATGTCCTAGCTCTTCCTTGTTCCACTCACTGCCATTCTCCTCACTACTTTGATTCCTTGGGGTAGAATCTCATGCTTCCTAGTACCTTGGCACTTAAAGTTGTGACAAAATAGAAGGAATGCGGGTGGGGCAGAGTCTGGTTTGTCAACCTCCAGCTCCTACAACTGAGTGGCCAGGATCTGGATGTGAAATCGGGACAAATGCAGATCCCACTAATGGATGTGGTGCGCCTCCCACAGAGCCTTGGGAGCTCTGGACCCTTCTCTGAGAGCTGGCAGCCTCTGCTGTGCGATTGGGTTGGCGTGTGAGCTGGGTCTCTGCCAGGCAAGGCCATTAAGCAGATTTTCCATTGCAGAAGGACCCGTGGTCCTGAAGCCCATGACCTCGGGGCAAAGGTCCTCTCAGTGCCAAAGGCCAGTGAATGCAGCCCCAGGAATGTGGCACTTGCTGTCCGTCGCTGCCATGTGTGGACTCACTGTGTTGTTGGGGTTGTGTCATCACAGTTTGCCATTCTGTATACTGCAGTCAAACAGAGGTTGGCTCTGAAACGTTGACAGGTGCACCCAGTCTCCCTCAGTGTACACCAGCAAGGGCCATCAGAAATAGCTGCCACTGACTAGGTACCCAAAGCTATGTGCCCGTCATCCTCAGTCCTGCTGGAGGAGATGGTAGGGAAGGAAACGGGAGATGTTCTCTTCCATCTGCTGACAGCAGGAGACTCGGGGGAATGGGAATTAAGAGGGGTGGGCATCTGTGCTGCACGCCGGCTTTGCTGGATTATATGGCACAGCTTTAAAAGAGCCCCGAATCCTAGTCCTGCTGGACCGGCATGTCCACCCCAAGCAGGTCAGAGAACACCCAGTGGAACCCCCAGCAACAAGAGCAGCTCAGTGGCAGTGAGCAGAGGCTACGTGTGCCCCTGTTCCTCTGGTCGCTCTCTGGGAAGGCAGAACTTGCAGCACCGAGGGGAGCTGAGGGAAGCTCAGTGTGAGGGAAAGGGGAGCTTTGGGGATGTGAGGGCAGCATGCTGTGGGGAGATGATACTGAGAACAAGTCTTTGTAGTTTTGCCAAAAGCCACATTTTGTGAAAAGTTTAACTTGGGAGAAGCATAGGAAGCTGTCCTGCATTGCAGTGGTCTTTCCACTGTTCCTCCTTTTCATCTCTGTGTCTGTCACTTTGAGGGAAGGAAGGGGCTGCTGTCGACAGCAGCCGGCTGTCCCTTGTTGGTGCTCAGGGAGCTAGGGCTTTGGCCCACATACCTTGCATTGGTCAGCAGAGATGGACTCACACGTTAAATGGGCATTAATCAATCCATGCTTGCTCTTACAGGATTAATCATTACCAACAAAGGCTACAGTCGCTGTACTTCAAAAAGAAGTTTGCAGAGCGTGTGGCAGAAGTGAAGCCCAAAGTGGAAGGTAAAAGCTGGGCTCCGGCTGCTTGGGAGGGCCGTATGTCTCAATGCTCACTTTCAAAGTTGGGTCCCAGCGCACATAGGGAACAGCTGCCCTCTACTGACTTTCTCACTAGAAACCTTGAAATGTTAAGGTTGGCACTTGGCCTACTGGCTGAGCCTGGGCTCTTCTGTTGGGCTGGGCTTTCGACCCCATGTGTGTAGCTCAGAGACTAATTTGACCGCTGCTAGCAAATAACCTATAATTAGCTCTCTTGCGAGCGGGCCTTACTTGATTATTCTGATGGTACAGTTGAGGCTTTTAAATGTTTGAGATGTAGCTGAGGCCACCAAAAAGCACCGTCCTGAGTGTGAGCTGGAATCAAAACCTGCGGAGCTCAATCAGTTGCAGCACCTTGAGCCATACTGTCACAGATTTGACCAGTCCTCTATCAATGGCATGATTGAAACAGTAGACAAAGGAGTGCTGGCAGAGGAATTTGGAAGCAGAACTGCTCCGCTATGTATTCTTAAACACTGAAGGTTGAGTGAGCCCAGGAAAGGACAAGAAAGGAGAATAATCCGCAGCTGCCTATGGGATCTCTAACCATTGTAACTCTACCTCACTCCTTGGCTTGTAGTTCAGGTGTTTTCAAGGTGTCCCCTGGCAGCCTAATCCATCAGCCTGACATCTCCAGTCTGTTGTATCTGTTCTGGAACGTGATTTTAGAATGGGTATCACTGAAAGTCTTGGTTGTAATAATTGTGTTCTTATGTGGTTTGTTTTGAAGCAATCCGTTCTGGCTCAGAAGAGGTATTTAGCAGTGGGGCCCTCAAGCAGTTGCTAGAGGTGGTTTTGGCATTTGGAAATTATATGAATAAAGGCCAAAGAGGCAATGCCTATGGATTCAAGATATCCAGCCTCAACAAGATTGCTGACACAAAATCTAGTATTGATAAGTAAGTACAGGGTCTCCTGGCGCTTGGGGCAGCTGGGTGATTCGGCAGGGCTGGGGGGTGCCCCTCTCATCATGCCTAATCTGTTGCTCCTATGTTGAACTTCTCTTTCTCTCCTCTTCCTCTGACAGTGATTCCTCTCTCCCCTCTCTGAGCGTCCCCCAAGTTGGCTTCATCCATTCTCAGTGCATAGGAATGCCGTCTATTCCAAGTGTCCTTTATCAGTCCTGCTGTATTAGGGGGAGCAAACTTATAAATTATAGTATAATATACTAAAGAGAAGCCACTAGCCCTAAATGTACAGCCTGATGAATTCTGACACATCAGATACTCGTGTATAACTGAGATGGAAAAACAGATCACCACTAGCTCTCTGGAAGTCTTCTTTTCATAGTTACTACCTCTACAGAAACCTGTGTTCCAGAGAGAAGGAACAAGCTGAAAAGTAGGGCTGGATTGTGAAGCTTGTTTGGTTTATAAGTTATATTTTCCTTCACATGTTAGAGCTAACAGGTATATGAAAAAATTGTCATCATAAATGCATTTTGGCTGTTGCTGTCAGCTGCTCATCCCAAGATTCATTAAAATGCTTCCTAGAAAGTGTTCAGCGCTGAAGTTGAGCACAGATTCTGGTTGAAAACACCAAGATGTAAAAACACTGTCATTAACAGGTAGGGTCGATATGCATATTAACCCTAGTCTCCCTGAGAGCTCGGTTGTCTGAGATTCTGACTGACATCAAAGGAACTTGTACAGTTGTTTCAGAGGTCAGCTTCTCTAACTAAATTCTCTTTAGAAGTATGGCTTTTCATCCTCATTATTCCTAGCTAATGAGCTCTGTGCGGTATTTCTATAGGGTTAGTTAAGGATGTGTATGACAACCCTTTTTAGAAGAAATGCACAGTGTGTTAGCTGCTGTGCATCATGGCAAGACAAAAAGCAGCTGCTGTGTACAGAGCCTGCCACCACACTCTGATGTGTGCTTGATCCTTTTCGTAGCACATTCACATCTGCTGCCACAGCAGCCTGTGAAATTCACAAGCCAAATCTGTTTCTACTTGTCAAGAAACTGAGGCAGCATCCTGTGAGTCATTTAACTTGCCTAAATCACAGCGAGCAAGGAACCTCACTTCATTTAACACCTGTTCTGTTGGTCTGTCCACAGCCACGTTCCTGCCCAAGGGTAGATCTTACTTGAAGATTGTAATAGGGACCAGTAGCCTCTTACTTGCATATAAAGACCAGCTACCTTTTTACAGAAGGTTGTTCTTTTCAACTGCAGGGATAGGCACTATAGGCACACGTACAAACCCGAGCCACTCACCTTACCCCTACACTTATTAATAACCTGCTATTGATGTGGTTATCTGCTTTTTGAGGTTGCTACAAAGTGTATCTCATATATAAACCTTTTAAAATGAATAAACCAAAACAATTCCTTTCCTTTTTTCTCTGCTGTGAGTGTTTGACCCCCCAGTGTGTAGCACCAATGTTTATAAACCTGCAGTGCCTTGCCAACTAACAGGGTCACGCTCCACACTTGTGGGAATGAGGACAGTCCAATGGGGCAAATGCTCAGCACGAAGACGCAAGGTCTTAGTAACCTCCAGGCACTGGTCAGCTGTGTAGCTGCTTAGTTACCATTCATTAAGAATGTATTGAGGGCCAGGGATATAGCTCAGTGGTACAGTGCCTGCCTGGCAAGGGCGGGGTCATGACTTCTATCCCCGGTACCAAAATAAAGAATTTGTATTTAATCAAATGAGGTGTTTTTCTGGATAGCAAATAAATTCGAGATTTCTGATGTGGTTTCAACCTTTTCTATAGTAACAAAGGTACATATAATTCATAGGGTTAATAGAAATTCCTCTTGTCTTAGAGGAAGACTAGCCATGCGCTCTGTTGTTATGGTAGCTGGCGTTCGGTTCCCTGCCTGAGCCCCATGAGTGAGAGGCATGGAGGTAAACTGGTCGATTCTGTGACCAGTACATCTCACACGGACAGACGCAGCTGGGCACTGACCGACACATGTATGGCCAGAACTGTTGGCTGTTTTTCGCTGTGCCAGGCAATTGTTTTCCAATTAATGAGAAGGGAGGAAGGAATTTTTTTTAAATGTGAGTCACTGACTCAAGAATAGAATTATATGTCCCTATGAAGCCACAAGGATGACTAGAAATGCTTTTCATTGTTATGGAAAAGAAAATTGGCAACTCTGATTCACTTTGGTTAGAGGTGGGCTCAAGTATTGTGATTTAGCCTTGTGAATTAGCAAATTGCCTAAACTATGGAAATATTTATAAAGTAAAGCATTTGTGTTTTGTTTTGTTTTGTTTTTTATTTTAAAGAATAAAAGAAGGATAACATAATAATAGGGGGGACTTAGTAAATTACAGACAAAATGGTAGGAAATTATCAATGGTTATCGTTTTACATATTATTATCTACAAAATAGTTTCTCAGGAAAACAAATAGACAAATAATAGTGAGTTAGAGACAAAAGAGGTAGGAGATTATCAAGAGTTGTTGTGCTATACTTTGGTATCTTCAAAGAGGCTTCTAAAGAAAATAATAGAACTATACATGAGTGACCTATTGAAAAATCATTAACTATTCTCAATGGTTGTTGTAGGAAACACATAATAATAAACATACATTATGAAATAGGATAGGAACATTACAAACTTAACACAGTTATGGATAGATTAGTAGGAAAATATCAGTGGCTGCTGTAATACGTGGTGGTATCTTCAAAGTGGTTTCTCAGGAAGACAGAGATATGCAAGAAGGATCTAATAAGTAGTTACAGCCTAAGGGTTGTCAAAAATAGCATATTACCTCCTCACCAGTGACTCCTTTCACTGAGGTATGATGGCTGGAAGGAAGGCCAGGATTGAAAAGAAAGACCGAGAGACTTACACCTGTGAAAAGTAAAGCATTTGTATCCTCCTGATTATGGGAACTTCAGTGGATTAGTTCTTGACCCTGGTGGCATATTAGCATCACCAGGGAGTTTTAGCAAATACTCATGCTTGAGCTTACCTCATTCCAATTAAATGACTCTGAGGGTTGGCCCAGGCGTCTGGAGTCCAGGTGACTGTAATATGTGGCAGAGTCGGTGACAGGGGAACCAGATGAACATGGCTTTGCCTGTGGTGTTATCTGGGTCTGGGTCAGTCTGAGGTCAGCCTTGTCACCACCAGAGAGGGAGCTGGCACAGCCAACGTTGCAGCTGCTGCTCAGGGCTCTAAAGTTAAGAGCCAAAGTGTTGCTAAAAGCAGCGGTGATTGACAGCTGCAGGGATACCACAGGCAGTGGCACAGCCATGGCCCGAGTCCAAATTCAGACCTGAAGTCTGGGCCTTTCTAACTCTCCACCCTTTGAATGAAACCTTTACTTTAATTAATTCATTTTTTGATGGATACATGTTTGTAGTACATAGCGATTACATTCATTGCGTTGAGTTGGCTCATATACATAAGGCCTCTCAATTCTTTTTTTAACCCTCAACCCTCTTCTCACTCATCCTCCTTGCCACTCTTGGAGACGGATATATATATATATGTATATCATGTAGAGACATGATATAGCATGTATGTATCATGTGCAGACATTATGCGACATGTATCTTTTCTAAGCTAGATGTTGATAGTACATGATAATCACATTCCTCCTGGGGACTTGGTGCGTAGCACTTCACAACCCTCCCCCTTTATGCTTTTTAACCTCACTTCCCTTCCTGCCCTCCATCTCTTGGTTCCCTTCCATATACCAAAGATCCATCTTGCTATTTCCTATTGCCCATCTTTTCTTTTGCTCTTTATTTACATATTGAGATTCTCATATAAGAGAAACCATGCAGTATTTAAGCTTGTGAGTGTGATTTACTTCAGTTAACATTATGGTTTCAAGGTGCTCCCATTTTCCTACAGATGACCAGTTTATCCTTCTTTATGCCAGAATAGTGCTCCACTGTGTGTAAATACCACATTTTAACTATTCATCTGTCGATGGACATATAGGCTACTTCCAAGATTTAGCTATTAGGAATTGTACTGCTTTAAACATAGGTATATATGTGTCATTGTAATATCGTTAATTCTTTGGGGAAGATGCCTATAAGAGGAATGCCTGGGTCAAATGGAATTTCTATGTTTAGTTCTTTGAGGAATCTCCGTACTGATCTCCATACTAATTTACACTCCTACTAACAATGCAGAGGGTTCCTCCCCCACCCCAAAGAGCCCCTCCAGCATTCATTATTATGGATTTCTTAAAGGTAGCCATTCTTTCTGGAGTGAGATGGAATCTCAGTGTTGTTTTAATTTGCATTTCTCAAATGGCCAGTGATGCTGAACATTTTTTCATATATTTATTGGACACTTGTATTTTTTATCTGAGAAGTGTAGTTCAGATGCCCATTTTTTAATTGGATCTTTGGATTTGGTGGGGAAGTCTTATTTTATTGAATGCTTTATATGTTCTAGATTATTAGTCCTCTGTATAAGGAGTAGCTGGCAAAACCATTCTGTAGGTTTTCATGAACCTAATTCATACCACAATTCTGGAAAAGATGGCCACATTTGTGTTTATCACCTAATAAAGAGTTCCAAAACAAAAACAAAATTCAAAATTTTCCCAGACACTTCTGTTTGCAAACCACATTGTTCTCAAGCAAAAGCATTCGTGAACTGAGGTATTTCTTTGTTGAATATTTATCTAGTTGATCTATTTGTGACAGTGAGATATTGAGTTCCCCATTGCAGTTGTATTGATGTTTATCTGATTTTTCATTTCCATTAGTATTTGTTTTATGAATATAGGTATGCTGGTATTTGGTGCGTATGTTTATAATTACCATCTCTTTCTGTTGAATTGTTGCCTCACCCAATGGTTTGAAATGTACTTTGTCTGAAATTAGAATATCTGCTCCTCCTTTTTTTCCATTGCATGGGATATTGTTTTCCATCCTATGATTTTTAATCTGTGAATTTCTTTTTGAATTAAATATGTAAATTTCTTTTTGGATTAAGTATATTTCTTGTGTACTGCATCTCATTGAGTTTTGTTTCTTGATGCATTTTGCCAGTCTGTGTTTTGATTGAGGAACTGAGACCATTCACATTTGGAGTTATTACTGCAAGGTATTGGCTTATTCCTGCATTATTTTTCTGTTTCTGATTTCCTTATTTTTTTCCCTGTTGTTTAGTTGCACATCACACCAGTTGTATTCATTCTTTTTGACTTACTGGCATTTTTGGCTTCATTGTCTTTTTCTAGAATATCCTTGATAATGTTTTATAATGTTGGTTTGGTGGTCATGAGTTTCTTGAGGTGCTCCTTGTAAGGGAATACCGTATTTCTCTATAAGTTTTGAAGAAAAGTTTTGCAGGATATGTTAGTCTGGATTGGAAATTTTCTTTCAGGGCTTCAAACATTTAACTCCAAGCCCCCTTTGCCTTTAAGGTTTGCATTGAGAAGTTTGCCATAATTCTAATGGACTTATTTCATGTGTGATTCATTGCTTTTCCCAAATAGCTTTTAAGATTTTGTCCCTGTGATGGACGGACTTCTTATACTTTGAGAAGAAAATGGCATAGGGTTTCTCTTTTTGTTTTGGCTATTTGGGGTTCTATATGCCTCATTTAACAGTATGTTCATTTCTTTCCCTGTATTTGTGAAGTTTTCTGCCATTATTTCTGTGAACAGTTTTTTATGCTATATGTGGCATCTTGTAATTTTTAATTTATTCTAGTTACTCTTATATTAGTCTTTTTGTGTTATCTAGGAGCTATTGGGTCCATTTTCATATTCTTCTGTTGCTTTTAAAGTATCCTTTGTGTAGTTGGTTTTTGAAGTCTTGTGTCTTTTAGTTCTGAAATTTTGTTCTCAAACTAGTTGCTTCTGCCACCCATGACTTCAGCATAAATTTCAATCTCATGTGTTTCTGATTGCAACCATTTCATGGATTCTAATTATTTGCTAAATTGGTCATTCATGTTTTGTATTATTTTGTTTAGCTCAGCTAGCTTTTTATTAGTATCTTCTGAAAACTTCCAGGTCATTTTACTTATTACTTTGTTTGTTTGTTTTTTTTGGTTTTGGTTTTTCTCCGGTACCGGGAACCGAACTCACGACCTTGCGCTTGCCAGGCAGGCGCTTTTGCCGCTGAGCTAAATCCCCAGCCCCCCATTTTACTTATTACTTTAATTATCTGTTTAGGTAACATCCTCTGTGATCCTGCTGAGTACCATTTGATCTGTTTTCTCACCTCTTCTGTTATTCTTTTGAGTAATTCAGGTGTGTGGCTTATGCTGTTTTCCCCCTTGGTATCTCCTGAATTGGCTTCAGGGGAGTTGGGAGTTTTGGGAGGCATTTCATCGCCTTGTCTTCTTATGTTTCTGTTGTTGTGTTTTGTTTTGTTTTGTTTTGTGCTGAGATTTATGGATGCATACAATGTAAAGACTTTGTTGCTAGTACAGTAAGTAGTACCTTGGTTCATGAATTTAATTCTTTCCAAACTGAATTGGACAAGAATGAAATCAAATTCCATAGTTGGGTTCAGTGTTCCCTTAGGGGAAATTTGATTGGGTTCTCATTCAATTCAGTCTATGACCAGAACTGTGGAAAGAATTAAATTCATGAACTGTAAAGAGATCTCTTTAGTCACTTTTCAGTGACATTTTGGGCATTGCTGACTATAGTCCTTTGCCTCTACCCCCAAGACTTGACCACCTCTGTGAATTTGAGAAGGGATAGTGCAGTATAATTGGCCTAACACTGAGCTCTTGGTGAATGTACCCTAGTATTACTAGTGTCACAAGTGTAATCTGGGTGTTGCCTTAAATAAAAAAAAATCCATTAATAGCAACAGTTATTCGACCCTGGTAGTATCAAACAAACCAACTACAGTAGTATTGTCCAAGACAAATTGGATATTAATGTACCCTAAAAACCAATTATGTACTTCCCTTATCTCTAGAGAAGAAATCCACAGTTACAGTGTAAACATTGACAATCCAGTATTTACTTACAGCTAGTATGTACTAAATGCAACAGTCATGTCTCCGCTAATGGTAGAATAGAATTCAACAGTAATTTTACAGAGTTAACTATTAAAAGATTAGTAAAGGTTTATGGCTATACTATTAAAGATACGAGGCTTGGGAACATGGAAGGCAAGGGGAAATATAAGAAATGTTAATCTGTATGATAGGAGGAGAGAGAAGTGGTACGAAGGATGTTATTGGAGAGCAGAAGGATGTTTATGGAATTAGGTAAAGATGACAGAAACAAATAATGAGAATAGAAAAGAAAAAAGGGAGAAAAACTTACATGGAAAATAAAAGTAAGGGAGAGAAATTAAAAGGAACAAATAAAGAAAAAGATAGAAAAAAAGAAAACAAGGAAAGGGTCAAAAAATACCCAAACCCCAATAAACTAGTGAAGAAGAAAAAGGAAAGAAAAGAAGATAAAAATGGAGGACATACCCTCACAGAAAGAAAAAAAAAAAAGGAAATTCCTCTGTAATTTTGAATGCATAGTTTTTTTCTGGGATCCACACATTTGGAGCTGTGTCCATGTCAAGATGTGTCCCTGCTTACTGTGGTAGATCAAAAAAGCAAACACCAGATCCATGCTTAGACAAGGCCTCCTCCCTGACCATGGGGCAGGCTTTGTCCTATACCTCAAAGCCCTCAGGAGGCCTCTTTCCAGCCTGCTCTCAGACCATGACTCTCCCCTGGCGGTCTCTCCCCTAGTCACTGTGGGACGTAGCACTGTGAGTCCTGAAGTGAAGCCATTCTGTGGCTGCTTTGTGCCCCAGGTTCAAACAAACAAGCTTTCCCCAGAATGGCACCCAATCAAGCCCTCGCTGGAGGGACATGGCAGGCACTAGCATGAGAGTCACTTGCCAGCCGCTGCTTGTTGAAGGGCACCTGTGGAGTAGAATCCTGCACTGTCCCTGCAGATCACAACTACCTACCTGTGTGTTTTGCCATGACATTTCTTTCTGGGGACCCTGGTGTCTCTGTAGGTTTGGTCTCGCATTCCCACCAGCTGCAAGCCAGGAGCCATACGTACTTCTCTGCATTGTTTTCTGTCTCCTCAATTTCTCTGTAGTTTTCAATCTTCCTCCCAGATCCTTTCTGGTTCCCAGTGATCTACTTCTTTCTTTTTTTTCTTCTCCAACTTATTATTTTCCAGTGTCTGGATTCCAAATCTCAAAGAGGCAGTGTCATTGTTGCTCACCACTCCACCATTTTTCCCCCACTGGATGAAATTTTAAGCAAGTATTATCAATAATTGTTATCAGTGAGCTTCTCTTTAGACCTGAAAAAATGCCAAGTACTTCTAGCTTTCAAACAGCTGCTTTCTTCAGTGAATTGAACATCCCTCCCTCGTGGCAGTCTCCACCAGTTCTGCTTATACGGACTTGCAAGGTGCGCCCATGTGGGACAGGTCCTCTGTAAAGGTGACAGTGAGCTTGTCTCTGTTGGCAGTGGTTCACATGTACTTCCATCACCTTGCATTGCCCAGACATTGAAGGATGTTCATATGGGCCCAGAGTGTTATTCTTTCCCCCACTTTTCCTTTTGAGGCTCTCTCCTCATCTTCTCTTGAGAGGACCTACTTGTTCAAATTTTAAAGTTAATGCAGGAGGCCACCTCAGTGGCACAGCACCTGCCTGGCAAGCACAAGGTCCTGAGTTCAGTTCCCAGTACCAAAAAATAAAAAAGAAAAATAAAGTTAGTACAGGAATGTAACAGGATTGTGGGTTTTGCTCCTTGAGCATATAAACCAAGTGCAAATTAATCATGTTGAATGGTTTTTCCTTCTTTAATTGTAGGAATATTACCCTTTTGCACTATCTCATAACTATCATGGAGAGTAAATACCCAAAGGTCCTCAACCTAAATGAAGAATTGCGGGATATTCCTCAGGCAGCAAAAGTAAAGTAAGTACTTGCTGTGAGTTATAGTTTGTTAAATCGCTTGGACGGTGGGCTGGCCACTGGGATGGTTAGTTGGCATCCATGAAGTGCAGTGCATAAACTGGAGTTTTCCTGTGAACACTGTATGAAATAAAGCTTGAATCATAACCAAATCATTCAAATCTGTCACAATGTATTGAATATATATTTGTTCTAGGTCCTTTGGAAAAATTGCCACGTGCCATTTTTAACTTTGAGAAATCCTAATTTTCTGAGTTGTTTTGTTTTTTTTTTCCGGTGCTGGGAATTGAACTCACGACCTTGCGCTTGCTAGGCAGGCGCTGTGCCGCTGAGCTAAATCCCCAGCCCCTGAGTTGTTAATAGTACAGGAAAGGCATGTGGTTTTACTAGTGCTTTAAAAAGAGAGCAGTACTGTTAAACCCAGGTAGGAGCACCCTGATCAGTGCTTTTTTTTAAAAAGGTGATTCTGTTAAACACAGGTAGGAGTGCCCTGAGTTAGACAGGGTAGGTAAGCAAATAAAAAACGTACACACAGGACATTGTTAGTAAGTTTTGCATATGCAAACATTCTCTGAAGCCAAGTGAGCCTATCAATGAGAAGCAGTCTTTATGCAAATCAAGAGGCTAAAAATAGAGTGGAAATTTGCCAAACTTGTACCCAAACTTGACGCTGTGTGTCAGATACTGGGAGCAGGCAGTTTTTCTGGATGTTCTTCCCTCCCCGTTTGACTCTACATAGATGGCACGTCATGTCTTTTTGCAAAGCAGGCAAAGCCCTTCCCTGTGTAGAATTTAGTAGAAATGTACTACGTACAACATGAAGTTTCTTTGTATATTGTGAATTATCTTTTAAAATTAAGTTTTTATCTCTAATGTTTAAAAGCCATGAAATAGCCAGGTGTGTGGCACAGGCCTGTAATCCCAGCACTCAGGAGGCTGAGACAGGAAGATTGCCGTGATTTTGAAGCCAACCTGGGCTACATAAATGAGTTCAAGGCCAGCCTGAACTACATAGTGAGACCTTGTCTCAGTCAGTCAATCAATCGATAAATAAATGCATTAGAGGAGAAGTCCAGGAATCTTTCTCTATTGCAACAACAACAAAAAATGACAATGAAAACTATTTATTACAACTATAAGAAAACCAGTGTTCATTGCAGTTTAAGCCAGTACTGATAATATTCATATTATCAGAGCCCTGGGAAGGAACAGTACGCTTATAAAGCACAGAATGTGAGTGTGATTGTAGGTAATGCAGTTTCTTTTACTTTTTCCAAGAGAGCCAAGTATGACAAGACATTTATTTCTACATAGAGTAACTTGCTCAAGTGAGAGTTTTGCGAGACTTAAACATGAAATATTTTTATACACCTGGGAGATGTTTCTCCTTTGCTATTTTTTAATCTATAAAATGTAACTGCTGGTTGTGAAAAACAAAATGCACAATTCTGTACCTAAATTCTGTAAATTTAAAATGCTGCATTCTTTCTGTGAGATGTGAACATGGGCTTTCTTAAGCATGAAATATTTAAAACCATCGTATATTTAATATGCCTGAGTCACATTCTGATTTTCACTAAACGGTTGCTATTTAAAACAGCATGACTGAGCTGGACAAAGAAATAAATACCTTGAGAAGTGGCTTGAAGGCAGTGGAGACAGTGAGTATTGATTTGCTGTTCTAATTCCAAGTCTCTTCACTACTTCCAGTCCCGATGACTTCCCGCACGTGAGCTGCCAGTTGCTTTAGCATGTGGTCTGCCCAGGACAGCACCTACTGGCTCAAAACAAAAAAAGATGAGGCGGAGTGTGTCTGACCTGGTGACTTGGTTGCAGGCTACAGGCCACCCTGGGTGGATCATTGGGCCTGGGGCTGAACCCAGGGTCCTGCCAGCTTACCTGGGGGGCAGGCCTTGGGAAAGTGAGCTGGATAATCATGCCTCTCAGTTCCCATGTCCTACTAGTCAGCGTTGCTTCGGGAGAGGAATAGAACGTCTGTCTTGCCTCTGAGCCAACCCTTTGGGGGGCATTTCCTGAGCAGATGCTTGTACGTACAGGGCACGCTCAGGGCGAGGGCGAGGGGTGAATCGACCTTGCCCCTTGCTATGTCATTGCCAGGAGGACCCAGTTCCCTTGTCAGCCCCATCCAGATAGGCACAGTGGATACAGAGGCTCCTCCAAGCCTGGCTGTCACGGGGTGCTCTGGAGGCACATGCAACGCTAGGCGTGTGTGTAGACGAGCACCTCTTCCACAAGAAAGGAGCTGTGATGGGGGCTGGAAGGAGGAGGGAGTAGACAGGTGTGTGGGAGGAAGGCCGCCTGGGGACACGGGACATGAGGCAGAGAGGTGCAGGGAGTGAAATGTGGCTGTGTTAGCCTGTGCTTGCGGGTGCTGTGCAAACGTGCTGCCCAGGGGCAGGAGGCCAGCTGGCAAAGGGGCAAAATGCTTCGTTGCCCACCCTGCCTGAGAAACCAACCACGGGTCTGGTCTGATTGCTGAGGGGCCTAGATCATTCACAGGCTGCTTAGAAGGACTCCTCAATATCTTTCAAATCATTTTTCTCCTTTTCTTTTTTAATCATGAAACTATGCCATAAAGAGTTTTGAATCCACTGAAGACATACTGCTAATAAAAGTTAAGATCACAGTGTATGATTTTTTTTCTATTTGCTTTCACGGATTTAGAAGCACATGAAGGTTGAGTTTGGTTTTGGTTTTGTAAGATTTCTTTGTTTGTCTCTCTGTCGTGGAGGGGGCTAGAAGGGGGTGCACACGCTGAGTAACCCTCCTTCCCCACCCAGCAGCAGGGTCACGGCCTGCAGGAATAGTCCTGCACAGTTCGCAGACAGGCCCACTGGATCGGGCACTGGGGCTGAGGCTTGGTTGATACTTGCCACCCTTTGCCTTTTCCTCTCCGTGGTGGCTTTCTTGAGACTAGCCTGGCACTATGACAGCCCTAAGTCATGGTGGATAGTCCGACCTCTGACTCAGAGTTGGCTCAAACCCAGCCCAGGGGAGAGACAGTGTTTGAGGGACATTCTGTGGCTTTGGTTTATTAAAGTACAGTTTAACAGAAATCTGCATCTCCTAGCTGAGTGATGGACAAGCTTTAAGAGACAAGTGCCCAACTGCAACCCAAAACCCACTTACTTACACAAAGTGCCAACACTGCAGTTAGCCCTGAATACCGAGGTTTTAGTTTAGAAAAATAGCTCTACATTAACATCTTGAGCCTTAAAAGAAAGCCCCAATTACACACGTTCCATAGGTTTGCTACCACTGCCCTAGGCCCTGTGGATCACGTTCTTCATAGGAAAAGGAGCTACAGAAGCCCTCTGCCCCTGCCCTAGGCAGCTAAGATGTCAGGATATAGCCTTGTAAGAAATCTTTGGGAAGTAGAGCTTGGCAGCATGAAATACTCATGTGTCCTAATCGTACTTTGTTCGGATTAATTATACTGTTAGGAGGTGTCAGAGATGGAATTCTTACAAAATGATTCATTAGTGAAACACTTGAAGGTGCTTTCCCATCCGAATGCCCAACACACATACGTACTCACCCTCTAGTTTCTTCCAGTCAGAGCCAGGTCTGTAAGTTCGTAAGTTTTCCTATCTATTATTTCTCTTAATTCCCATGTGGCTGCTGCCTACCTTTAAAATAAAGTGAGGACACCAAGGCCCAGAGCAAGTTGCCATGGGGAAGAAGCAAGGAAGCTGGGTCAGAGCTTGTGCCCCTCACTGCTGAGCGTCTGCTTCCTAGTATCTCTGCCACCGCAGGTACATAAAGAAAACGGGATGTCCAGTGACAGCAGAGGGTAACGGCACAGTCGTGTCTAAGACTCTGGGAGCGGGTATAGTCTGCCTGTCACTGATCACTGCTTTACTTTGGGGAAACAAATCCTTCTAAACTTTATGTGTCTGAACAGTGGGGATAATGCTTCCTCCCTCAGAGTTGTTATAAGCGTTAACAAAGAAAGTGCATCAGGCAGTATTTGAAAATAATTATTGGAATTTGAGTTGAATTGTGTAATTTCCATGGTAATGGAGAATATGGATAATTAACAGGAGACTAATCCCCACCTGCCTGCTCAAAAAAACCTAATGGTGTAGACAAGAAAAATGGTTGATGATTTGGGGCCAAATGCTACAGTAGAAATTCTACTGAGCAGACACAATGATTAGAAAGTAAATAGACTTTGGCAGAGAGAGAAAAGAAGGGAAGAAGAAAAAAATCAGGACACAAGAATTCTGATCACAGAGTACCAACTGTCGAAGTCTCTTCCTTTCACTCACAAATCCTTTGAATTCAATTTGTTCCTATTATTTGTTTGATGTCTATTAATTTTATCCAAATATTAATCTGCTTGCCTTCTAAAGGCACAATGAGAAATTACACTGAGAAAATACTCAAATAATTGGTTAAATTGCTGTTTCGGATAAATGTGTGCACGTGGGTCTGGGTTGTGGCGTGATGGGGAAACCAGGATACAGTGTTCTAGATGTGTTTGCCACTCTGAGTTATGAAATAACAAGGCCCGTGTAGTAAGAGACAAGGTGTGTCCGCGTTTGAGGCCTACAATGTCATCATCCGTTTCCTGTGTTTAAGGAGCTGGAGTATCAGAAGTCTCAGCCCCCACAGCCTGGAGATAAGTTTGTATCTGTGGTCAGCCAGTTCATCACCGTAGCCAGCTTCAGCTTCTCTGATGTTGAAGATCTGCTGGCAGAAGCTAAGGACCTGGTAACTTAGCCCTTGCATGCTTGTGCTGGGTGACTGAGCGGGGCTGTTGTTTGGTACTTTCAGGTATTATCTGTGTGGCAAACAGCACGAATAGGATCACGACATCATGGTTTGACGAATAGCGGATAACTTTTCCAGATTCCACTGTTTTGTGTAACATAGGTGCATTCTCATCTCCAGGAACTGGGTTAACTGAAGCATACCCTTAATCACCTGACTGGCCTGTGTTGCCTTAGAGGCTTGAATGGTGTAGAATGCTGACAGTTTTCTCTTGGTCACTTCTGGATTGAAGTGCTTATCTCTGAGAAGTAGAGTAAATGGCGGAAGGCAGGAACAGGTGTGACTAGGCGGTGTCCCTCAGTATCTCTGTACATGATATGCTTGTCTAAGATGTAGCCTCAAGAAGAAAGCATGCTACCGCCAAAACTTACTGAACTGCATTTTAGTTCACAGCCTCCTCTAAAGGGGTACTTTTTTAAGTAAATCATTTCTTTGTATGGCTTTTACCGTTTAAAATTTTCTTCTCCTACAAAGGAAGAGTTTTCATTTGCTAATGACCAAGACTTTTAAGGAACTCTCTAAGAGCCCCTTTCCTCCTTTCTGCCACTTACTCGCTCTTCCTCACGCTCTCTCTGAAGTTACTCTTTCAGACACGTACACATGCATACAATGTAAGTTCAAATGACTGCCAGGAGAGGTCAAACTGCTGGTGTCCTACAGGGCCCATCTGCCCCCCAGTGTCACAGCCCTGGTTTAGACCTCCACCGTGAAAGACCCATCCATGTCATACATGGGCCTCAGCATTCTGGAATATATATTTCATAAAGGAGGAGCTCACCACTTTCCTAATAGCCCGGCATTGTATTTATCTTAGCAAGGAGCTCAAAAATAGCAATCAACTGGATGTATTTTATTTTGTATGGGAACTTTAATCAGGCCCTAGCTTCTTCCCATTTCTAAGACTAGAATGCACATTACTTCATTATCACTAGAATTCCTAAATAAGAAGATCATTCGGCATGGTTTAAGTGCATGAACTTGAATGTTTTAGAAACTCAGTTAGTAGACCGTTTATTGCTCTTTTGTTCATAGAATTTTTAGAAATTAGCTAATAAAACCATGGAGCAAGCTAGAGTACTTTAATGTGCTGTGGGAAGAATATTATATTTTCCCCAAAGAGTTCTCCTTTGTAATAAACATTGTAAATATTGACAGTAACTCCACAGAAAAGCAAAAGTTGGTTCTAAAAAGGTTTATTATACATTTCACAGTATGAAATAGTTATAAAATGTAAGTAAATACGTCTAATTTAGTCAAGTTATTTTATTAAGGAATATTGAAAACATTTACTTAGACTATTACTGAAATATTAGAAAAACAACAGTATGATAAAGATAAGTAATAGTAATAATAAGGAAAACAAGATCAATTAGAATCTGTTGCATTCAGGCAGACTACAAAAACCTGTCCTGGCCTAAATATGCAGAAAATAAGTCTGGGCAGCTGTAGGTAGGTGAGGCATAGGGAGAGAGACTGCATTTCCCGTGAAGCTCAGAACACTCTGGGCGGAGCAGAGGAACAGCACTGGGTCCCCCAGAGGAGGCGCCGCACTGACAGCCTTCGGGCTTGGGCACTGTCTGGGGGATCACATTGAGGCGGGGGCGGTTGAAAGAGCCCCTGGCGAGCTCTGAAGATACCACTGGAGAATCAAACAGAAACCGTTCGGGGTAGGGAGGTGGAATATACTACTTTGTTATTCTGTATTTTAGTTTAAGTTTTTTAAATGTACCCTATTTTGCATTTTGTCTGTTTTTAAAAATCATTAAAAATAAGACACAAGAAGACAGCAGAAATTTGAAAGACCTCGTAATTTTTCTTTTAACTTTAGATATACTACTCCTCTGTGAATAGCTTAGGAAATGAGTCTGAATTCATGCATGTTCAGAGAAGGTATCAGAACAAGGCAGATCCATGTACCACTCCTGAAGTATAAACTGCTAGAAGAAATTTGGATATAAGATCCCAGGAGTTTTAAAGTTGTCATTATTTGTCATAATTCAAGTGGATATAAAAGAATTGTGGCAAGGCAGATAGGATGACTGGATTAAGCATCAGTTCTTTTATAAAAAAGGCTATTTTGAAGACAGAGAGCCTCATTAAAGTGACCTTGATGAGTAGTGAAGGAATTACATGTGAAATTCCTTAAATAAAAATTTATTTAATTTTTTTAAAAAAAATCATTAAAAGAGTTGGAGTAAAATATTCTTAGTCCGATCTTTGGAGTTGCATCCATTCCATCCTCAGTGACTGTTTTCTAATTGGGGCCCAGGAAATGTCATAACAGTATTAACATCACTATGATTAGGAAACAGCACTGGGAAGCGCTGGGTCCCATTGCTTTCCGGATTCACATATGGCACTAATGCGTGGCATTAAACTACTTCAGAGCAAAGCTGCAAGACAGGGTGTCCCACCCTTCTGAGCTGGCTGTTGCTTTTGTGTCTTAGGTGTTCATCCATGGTGTTTGCCTTCTCGTTTTCACTATTGTGTAGTTAATGAAAAGTTACAGGAGGTAATCACAGATGTTACCGGAAATGAGGTAGGCAGGAATAAACAGCATCCAGAGTTAAGAAGTATTAAAATTCTTACTTTCGAAATGCCGAATAGATGTGTTCAGCAGCCGAAGATAAACACAGACTCCCCCAAATCCATGACATTCTGTTTGACTCAGTGTGAGCTGTAGACCTGCTAGAGAGGTTTCTCTGTGATCGTGCCATTCTCCTAGCATGCTGAACTTGTTCAAATCTTCTTCTCCCCAGTTCACTAAAGCAGTGAAGCACTTTGGGGAAGAGGCTGGCAAAATACAGCCCGATGAGTTCTTTGGCATTTTTGATCAGTTTCTCCAAGCTGTGTCAGAAGCCAGACAAGAGAATGAGAACATGAGAAAGAAGAAGGAGGAGGAAGAACGCCGAGCCCGCATGGAGGCACAGGTGAGACACCATGGACCTGGCTGCTCCCACCTCCCAGAAATCGCAGCCCCTAGCTGTTTGGACAGAACTATAATTTATGTATGTATGTATGTATTGGGGATTGAACCCAGGGCCTTCAAATGAGCTGTATCACCAGCTCTTCTTCTGTTTTTTATTTTGAGATGGTTTCGTTAAGCCTGAGTTGCCCGAGCTAGGCTTGACCTTGACATCCTCCTGCCTCAGCCTCCTAGTTGCTGGATAACAGGCAAACACCACCGTGCACAGCTAGCACCCTATTTTGCAAAGGAGGCGGTAGCTGTGCTCTCTGAGGGCCAGTTGCTTTAGACTCTCCATACCGTAACTAATAATGAGTCTCTTTAATAGTAAAACTATCTTTCCTTTATAGAAACATGAGTTGCCTCAGTTGTTCCTTTTTTAATGAGAATATAGGAGGTTTTCCTAGGACGAGGACAGTGAGGGTTACTTTGTCCTATCTATCGGTGGTTTCTACAGTGAGCACCCCACCCTGCCCCAGGCTGGTGCCCTGCTCCCTGGCAGCTATACATGTACATGGGACCCCTGTGCCCAATACAGAGACCTGGGTTTCAACCCTTCTCTAAGAGGGCTCTCTCTGCTTGCAGCTCAAAGAACAGCGGGAAAGAGAGCGGAAAATGAGGAAAGCAAAAGAGAACAGTGAAGAAAGCGGAGAGTTTGATGACCTTGTCTCAGCTTTACGCTCAGGAGAAGTGTTTGACAAAGACCTTTCTAAACTGAAACGGAATCGCAAACGCATTTCCAACCAGGTGACAGATGGCAGCCGAGAGAGACCAGTCACAAAACTTAATTTTTAATTTCCTTTCAATACTTTTCTAGAAAGCCCAGTAGCAGCCCTTTGAAGTAACTAGACCTTTTTGTCACACTGCCGTGGCAGTTCTCCATCTGTGCGTGCGTGTGTGCGTGTGTGTGTAAATGGACGCGTACATATATATTAAAACTGTGCAGAGAAGTCTGAGTGTCGTCTAGAGACACGTGTACGGTCAGTCTTCGTTCCTGTGTGCACAGTGACCTGTGTCGTGTGCGAGCGAGTGTGGCCCAGTGTCTGTCCCTGAGCGCAGGGACAGTTCAGAAGCACAATGCTCCCCGCGGAGACGGCAGGTGCTCCCTGGCGTACGGAGAAAACAGGCTTGGGAAGAGCTGTAGGGCTTCAGTGTCGTCTCCTGGAAGTCATTTCCGCTGGAGGGATGGGGCTGGAAGACTAGACGGAGCCTGGCATTGGCTGACGAAGCGTGAAGCGTCAGGGACCGATGGGCCCTGCTCAGACCGCGGACGGGATGTGGCAAGGCAGGCTGTTTGTTGACAACATCTTGCACACCATTTGTGTTGTGTAGAATGTCACTCACAACCCTTTTATATGTTTAAAGCTTGGACGTCGGGTTTTTTCCCCCTAATTTCATCAAGTTTTCTGCCAAGTGCTCTTGATGATTTCTTTATTGCTTTTAGGGGAAAAAAATATGTAAATGCAATCTATGCCCATTTTAAAGAACAAGATTGCTAGAATGTGCTTGTTGTTCTAGTATAGACACTTAAACCTTAAAAATAAAGTCCTCACCCAAGACTTCAAGGAAGAATTCTCTACGGGATGAATTTGATTAATTTTTTAATGGGGTGCCTTTTTTTGGCTTTTTCTATTTTCTTTGTAGGACAAGCTGCATCTTCTGTAAATATAGGCCTAGGTAAAGAGCACTTAGCACATCCATAAAATGTCAACAGACCTAGCCCAATCTATTTATCTCTAAGTATATTTGAAGTGGTTTGCTGTTATATGTTGTCATTTTAAATTGTGTGTTGGTAAAGCTACCTGTAAAATTTCAGTCCAAAAAATAAAGCTCTCAGGGAGAAACGAATACAAACAATGAACATTAGAAAATAAAATATAGATGCTTACCATTAACCTACCAACTCTTAATATCCTTAAATTATATGATCTATAAAGAGGACTGTTACTTTTTTTCTTTCGCTTTATTTATTTGTAGTTTGTGTTGGGGGGGTGGCTCACGTTTTCTCTTCTCTTTCCTTCTGTCCTGTTATGGTTGGGTTTCCTGTGGAGAGTAGTTTTTCCTGGTGCACTAGAACATTACTTACTCACTAAATTGAATTTTTCAATCAACTAACAAATATTTATTAAGCACCTACTATGTACCAGGCATAGTAGAGCTACAGTGGTAAACAAGACAGAGTCCCTGCCCCTAAGGAGCTGACATTCTCCTGGGGATCTCCAGGGATGAACAGAACACCAGTGTGCGCTATAAAGAAACCGTACTACTTAAAAGTAATTTGTGTTAACTCTGGTGCTTAGTGCAGATGGCAAGGTGTCTGTGCTGGGTGAAAGCTGTGAAACAGTGCTCTGAGTTGTTGAGAGCTGTGGTTTTATATTTTTTCCTCATTACAAACTTAGCAACTTTCTACCCATTATGTAGAAGTAAATGACGCTTCCAAATAAAGCAATCTTAAACACAAAGCAGATCAGCTCCCCGGCCCCTCGCAAGCTACAGACCATGCGAGGAGCAGCAGCAATGAGCTGCAGAAGCACGGAGAGGAGGAGGACGCTAGAAAGGTAGTTTCTCTGTTACTTAACTAAAGTGCCTCTACCTATATTCTTTTCTACTTATAGCAGGAGAAATTTGGTCTGGCTCAATTTTGGAACTGTATTTTCAAAATGGCTTCATCTTACAGTTTAAGGAATGAACACACAGAAGGAGAGTCGCAAAAAGGAACAAATTTGTGTAGCGTGTCCCTCCTGCCCCTCTGAGTCACCTTTGGTATAGCCATCCTGGTGGGCCTCCTTTGCCATTTTCATATTTGGTTTCTTTCCCTAAAAACTGTGTGCAGGTAATTCAATGTGCCATTGTTGGGGGGAAAAAAAACTACTTCTTAGACTGGTGCTGGTGTAAGTAGTCACTTTTCTCTCTTGGGTGTGTATTTTAAAGGTTGGTTGTTTGTTTGTTTGTTAAATTAATGCCAAAAAGAAAGAAGCATTCTAATTTGTAAACTTAATTATATGTCTTATATCTTATTAGCTTAGTAGTTCGAACCACTTAGTCTGTAGGTGCAAGAGTGTTGTTATTGTACCAAGAAAAACTGTTGTATGTGTTATGAGACTGTACATTTTTTTAAGATAGCAATATGCAATAAAGATGACTTCATTGGGTGTATATATACATATGCTTTCTATGAATTATTAAAATAGCATCAACAAACCTCCTTGTGCATTTCACCACTGAATTAAAATATTTCAAATTGTTTGCTACCTCAGAAATACTAAACTTGTACTTCCTGGATCTGGAAGGGGGTAATTTTCTGTAATGGCAGCATTTGTTACATCTGAGCTGCCGTACACTACCTCCTTCTATAATTTTGTGTTATGTGTGGTAGGGCTACTGGTGAAATTATTCAACTGGCAGTATAGAAAAGAATCTCTTGGGCCAGGGATATAGCTCAGTGGCCCAGTGCCTGCCTGGCAAGGGTGAGGTCGTGAGTTCAATTCCTGGTAGAAAAAAAAAACAAAAAACAACTCTAGTCTCTAGAATCAAACCCTTTCTTATGTTGATGTATTTCCTTTTTAAAAATCAAAATTAATTTTGATTTTTGGAATCTGAGGGAAGTACCACCTATACAGACCAATAAATATGTTTTATAAATATCCACTGGACCCTGGAGACTTTCCATTGGTCCTACCTATGACACTGTGGCTGCCCAACCACCATCAACCCAGTTTGAGGTCAAGCTGAAGACACAAGCACTCCATACACTAAACCTTTCGATCTTTGCAATGCACTCATAATGTTCTGTGGCTGCTGACCATCTTATTTTCCATCAAGTCACTAATAACTGCGTAGTGTCTGAAGGTTACACTGTTCTCTGATGCTGACACTCAGCTAGGAGATTCTTTTACACATCACACAGGTGTCTTATTCCATCCTCCAGACTGAGTGCACCGTTACCCATCTGTAAGTTTGAGTAGGATGCTATGGACAGAACTACCTCAATCCTGCTTACCCTTGGTGTATTGGTAGAAATACAGGAAATGTGAAACTTGGAAGAGGTCACTTCAGTTCTGTTGGCAGAGTGGAGTTCCATGGTCCACGCAAAACCCTACTCCTTCTCTGTACCCTAATGTGAGTTTAGGTGAGGCCAACTGATAATCTTTGTTCAACTAGTTTGGGGACAATTGGTCAAAATGCCAAGTTCTGGAAGGGAAAATTTTCTGAGGTTTTTTTTTTAAGTAACATCAACTGTTTGCTATCAATTAGAAAATCAAGAACTTCTAAAGCTTGATAGTTCTGTGATATTGTTTAGTTCCATAAACACTATCTTTGAGACCACTGGGCTCTATATAGTGAGGTTTAAAGTCGGGAGTCTAAACTTCTGCACCAGGACCAGTTATCGCTATCTCTGTGCTGAGTTAGTGCTCGCCTTCTGTGCAGTGTGTACGTTGTTTTAAGTCTCTCAGGTCCCTAGTTCCTCCCTTATGATAGGAACTCAACTCAGGTCCAAAAACCTGTTGAGTCTATAATTAAGAAACACCTTAAAAATCTATATATTCTTTACCTTGGAGGAATTGGGGGCTCCTGGAGGAGTTTCTTGTGTATAAAGCGTTTAGTATTTCCCATAGCAAATGCCAGTCAGAATTATTTTCTTACCTGCCTTGTGAGGAAAATATCAGACGTGGCCTTTGATCTCTTCCCTGACTGCTTTTATCTACTGCGATCAACTGTGTTTCCATGGTATCAAACAAACATGAACACAAGACTGCACATCAGGATTTTTAGACAAAGGAGACCTTTATTTTTATCAAACCATGATAAGTTTGAGGTTTTCAGGAGAAAGAATGAATTTCCAAGTACAATTTTTCTCATATCATTGAATAAAACTTTTTTACCCATAGTTTCTCTACCCATAGTTTCTTTCTCTGGGAGGAGGGAGGAAGAAAATGTCTCAGTATTACATACTGTCAGTATTTTCAGTCCTGTCCTTCCATCTTCTTTACACATCTGTGATTAGGTGGGGACATTCTTGTGGCAAAGGACTGCATGTGACAGTGAGCACTGGCTGATGTTCTCACTCCCACCTCCAGGGTAGGGGTACTTTCCTGAGTGGTTGGGCTGGGACTGGCTTGACCATCCCAGGGTATGAGGGGCTCCCAGGGCAGACACAGTTATAATACTGAGCTACCCCGCAAGATGGGCAGGGGAAGGAAGTGGGTGGCCACACCCTCAGCTAAAGGAAGTCAGGCTGCAGGATATGTGATTAATCATACACAGAAGTCAGTCCCTTTCCTGTGTACCAGCAATGAACAGATTGCGTTTGAAATTAAAAACACAATGTCATTCACTAGCACTCCCCATCGTGGATCCCAACCATAATGTTAGGCAAAATCACATTAAGTTATTTTCTATTTATCAACAGATATCATGAAGTCTTCATGCAGAGACAGAATAACCAACCCATTACTAAAGAACCAGGTTAGAAGCTGAACGCTACTGAACAACAAGACATGTTATAAAGCTACAGTGATTGAGACAGTGTGGTATTGAAATAGACACATAAATGGACTGAAGACCCCAGGCATGCAACCATATAAATAGTCAGCTGGTCTTTGTCAGAAGAATAAAGGCAATACAATACAGTGAGATTTCAAAAAATTATGTTGGAGCAAGTGGATCTTACATGCAGAAAAGTAAGCCCAGCACAGACCTCACACCCTGTATAAGAATCTAACTCAAAATGAATCACAAACCTAAGTGTAAAACACAAAACTACAAAACACCTAGACACAAGAAAAAAACTTGAATGGCCATGGGTTTTGCAATAGCGTTTATTTGTTTGTTTGAGACAGAGTCTCACCATGTAGCTCAGGCTGACCTTGAACTCACAGTGATCCTCCTGCCTCAGCCTCCCAAGTGATAGGTTTATATGTGCCACCACTCCCAGCTCAACAATAACTTTTTAGGTGCAATACCAAAGACACAATCCATGAAAGAAAGAATTGACAAGCTGGAGCTCATGAAAATTAGAAATTTCTGTTCTGAAAAAGACTACCAAGAAAATAAAAAGAATTCACACACTGGGAGAAAGTATTTCAAAGGACATATCAGATAAAAGAATATTATCCAAAATGTACAAAGTCTTAAGCCTCAACAATAAAAGCATAAACCTGTTTAAAAATGAACCAAAGACTTGAACAGACACTTCACCAAAGAAGATACTCAAAAATGGCAAATAAATACATGAGCTCTACTCCTATATCATGAGGAAAATGCAAATTAAAACAATAATGAGATATCACTACACACCTCGAGTAGCCAAAATCCAAGAGCTAGCAAGGGTGTGGAACAACAGGAGCTGCTGCCCATTGCTGCTGGGGATGCAAGGTGGTACAGCTACATTGGAGGACAGTTTCACAGTTGCTTACAAAACCAAAAATACTCTTAGCATGTCTTTCCTAGTTGCTGGGACACAATATGTGACACCAACACATTCAAAGAGGAAAGGTTTATTTGACTCACAGTTTGTAGAGGTTTCAGTCCATAGTTGTCTCCAAAGCAAGGTGGCATGGCAGAGGAGCATGTGGAGGAGTGTTGCTCATGGAATGGCTGTGAAGAAGCAGAGACAGAATGAAAGGAGGACCAGGGAGGAATTAAATTCTCCCAGGCCACACCCCCTGTGACCTACCTCTTCCTACCAGATCCCACCTCCTAACAGCAATCAACTATAAACTCATCAGTGAGCTAATCCATTGATGAGTATCACACCCCCATGAACCAATCACTTCCCAAGAGCCTCTCCTATGAGCTCATGAGGCTTTCGGGGGGACATCTAGATAATGAAATATAACATTCCACTTTTATCCCCTGAAAGACTAATATACACTCCTATATGCAAAATGTATGTAGTCTATCTCCAAAACTTGCCAAAGTCCTAACAATTTCAGCATTACTGAAAAGTCCAAAGTTCCTCTGAGATTTAAGGCAAACTCTTAGCGGTGAGCCCTGGTAAAAATCAAAAGGAAGTTAAACACTGCTCACATACAAAGGTACAAAGTAACATTCCTGTTCCAAAAGGGAAAAATAGGGGGATGGAAAGAAATGGGACCAGAGAAGACTGGAACCCAACAAGGTGTACATTACCACACTGGGCAAACTGGTGAGATGGGAACTGTAAAAGGCTTGGGTGGCTCTGCCCCATAGCACTGCCGGTGCTTGTAACCCTCATGGCTTCTCTCTTGGGCTGGATCTGCTCCCTCTGACAACCCACAGTCCTGGCTTTTCCAACTTCCTGGGGTCTCTACTGCACTTACGGTTACACACTCACAGCTTCATAAGCTGCCCTCTCAGGAGCACACTTCTGAAGTGTAGGTGGAAGCCTTCCTGACCTGACAACTCAAATTCTGCATGTGCCTAAAACCACCACTGTGTGGATGATGCCAAGGTCTGTCACCAGCTGGGGCAGTGGCTGAACCCTTTGGTATCCTGCTGGTGGTGCAGAGGCTTCCAAGTACTTGGATGAATTCAGAGGAATCAATTCCCTAGGCTTCCTTCTCCAACAGTGTCCTGGGTCTCTTTTCAAAGCAAAGTCTTTCACTTTTGCAATTTTCAGCCCTTGAAAGGAGGAGTTTGTCATTTCCCAAGATGTCCTCAAGTCATTTTTTCCCTTATCCCATTGTAAAGTATTTAGGTTCTTTTTCCAACCAAGTGAAAACTGGAGTCTGCTCCATCTTTGCAGACCCAAACTTTACCTGAGTTTTCTTTATGGCCAAACTCAAAATTTTTAAAAACATTCAGCTGGGCCACTTGCTCTTGATTCTCAATGTAGAGCTTGCTAAAAGCACCGACAGTACCCAAGCCATGACCTGAATGTTTGGCTGCCTTAAAATATCCTTCACCACATTAGTCTGCCACCCATAATCTCAGTTAACCACAAAGTTCTCAAGACAAGACCAAAATGTAGATAATTTTTCTACTAGAGCATGACAAAAATGATACGGAGTCCTTGATCCGAGCTAAAACCTCCTTAGCCTGCATTACTGTCAGCATTCTGGTCTTCAAAGAAAGCTCTGACCAGAACCTCCTATCAAGCTGGGCTTACAGCATTCTGGTGCTGCTTCTCCAGCCAGCATCTCCACACTTTTCTAAACCCCTCCCACAAACTGATTCCAAAGGCTTTTGAACCACATGGTCAAGTATAGGCATAGCCACAAC